TTTTTTTTTTTTCAAAACATCTGAAGTTCTATTAATGCTATTTCTAGGACTTAAAACAACAGCAAAATGAACACTTTTTACTGATTTTTGAACATCTGATATTTATTGAAAATATGATGATTAATTATTGATAAGTTCTTTTTTTTTCAAGATGCTTTTAATTCCTATACTTTAAAAAGATGTTGATAACTTTGTAGTTAATGATCTAGTTTGTTTAGAGGGTTTAGAGAGTTTATGATGGTTTTTGCCCTTCAAATAATAAGAAGTCAAATTATCTCTTGAAATAGTCTATGCATCTCCTCCAGGTGAATAAGATTTACATTTTCTTTTGTTTTTTGTTAATAGACGATCATATTGTTCCATAACTAAAAATAATGGAAAGTCATCCTCTTCTTGAAGAGCCTTTATTTATTATAAAGGAATTGGTTTTTTTAGATCTGCCACCATATTTCCACGATTACTGTTTCGTGGTTCTAGTTTTAGCTTCATTTCTTAAATAGTGTCTTAAGTATTTTTGCAACAGCAAGGTGATGAACCCATACGTTTGCTAAATTCTCTATTATATTTAATTAGGTTTCTTAAAAACTTCTAATTAACAATATAGTTTTCCAAGAAGCTTTTAGAATATATCTATTTGCTTTGTTTAACAAAAGATTCATAAATTGAATGATTATATGAAGCATTATTTTCAATATTAAAAATTAACTTGTCATTGTACTGCTTCAAAATATTTTAATAATCAATTTTCGAGATTATTTCTGGAAAGAATAATTAATCTAATATTACAAATCAAATTATCGAATATTAATAAATGGATTTTATATCTTTTGGTTCAATAGAGTTCTGTGTTAAAGTTTATTTAAAATTTTATTATGATCATTTTAATTAGTCCAAAATGAAATTCTGATATTAAAAAGTAACTAGAATTTAGAAAAATGTAAGTCTTTGTTGTGAATTTTTTTTAGAAAAATTAAAATAAATATTTTTTTTATTTTTCAATTATTTTATTAATAATTATTAGAATAAAATTCATTATTTTATTTTATAATTTTATAAAATGAATTAGACATTTGTTGTCATTTTTCGTATTAATAATATGTAAAAACATTATACATTTATTTAATTAAATTGCAATTTACAATAATGAATATCATTTAAAAATAAAATAATGTCACGTTTGAGTTTATGATGGAATAGTAATTATTTATGATAAGATTGAAATAAAATAATATAAACATAAACAAGTAGTTATATAAATAATCAAACATATGATATTTTCTTGTATCCATTATACTTTGATTATAATTTGTTCCTCTATTCTAAAAATCTAACTCTTTTTTATTATGTAAAATTTCTTTTTTCCTATTCTTAGAGTATTTCTTTATTTTTTAAAATGCTCTTTGGAGGTATTTCAGAAAGTATATTACGAATAAATACACTTTTTGATCTATTTTTAGATCTATCTGATTTATTAATAGCATTGTAGTCAGTGATTTCATCCAACTCCCTTTAAGATAGATTTTTGGTTTCTAACTTCTAGAATGATTCAAAACCACTGATATTTGTTTCTACATCTTAATTCTATTTATCTTCATCCTGAGATAGTTTTAATTTAAGCTCATCTGATGTTTCCGTTATCACTGTACTCTATTCAAAAGTAACTTTAGAACTGTTATCCTTAAGACAATCCCTTTTAATTATAAGTTGTTTCATGTCCGTTATTGATGATTTGTATTGTGGTATATTTGTTGCACATGCCTATTATATTTATCCCATTTGGGCAATTAAATATATTTTAAGAAAATAATAAAAGAAAAGAATTATATATATAGTTTTCTGTCCCTAAATTAATAGAAATTTGATAATAAATTAAATGTCATTCAAAAAGAATCAATCAGTTTATTAGTATTACATTATAAAATAAAAGGTAGAAAAGAAACTTTATTTTTTTATTGTTTCTAGGGTTGAGATACTTTAGTATTTGATCTTTTTTTCAATATACTGCTTGGCTTATAAGTAGTGCTTTGTTTAGATAAATTATAAGTAAATTATGAAGCACTCAAAGATCTATAATATGACATTTTTTTAATTTTCCTATGATCTTTATTAAAGAGAGATTCTTAATATCTTTAATTATTATGATCAAAAGAAATCGAGCGACTTATTTTATTTGATGAGCAACTATAGACTATGCTAATTGATTTTTTATTAACTAATTATTCATATGTTGCCATAATTATTAGTAATGAAGAATCATCTTCTGGATTTATTTGTACAACTTAATTAAAAAGTGGTTATTTATATTAAGCTAAATGTAGTTCATCATCATTTAATTTATTTTGTTATTCCTTAGAAGAATTTTTAGGGCAGCAAAAACAACTAGGATAAGATCCCATTTAATCTAAGTTATTTATTTTAAAGAATAATCAATTTTTAGTCATATTTAAATCATAGCAAACATTTTTATTGTTATTTCATATTTTGATAATCCATCTTTAAAAATAATGAATTACAACTCTAAATATAAATATTTTTTTATTAAGCATAAGTTACATAAAAGTCCTTGTCGAAATAAAATATAATTTTAATTAATTTTACTCATTTTTCTATAGAAGGAAAATAGATAGTTGCTCAATCCATTTGAGAACTTAAATAAAAAATAGATGTCAGATTCTTTTTTTAAAATTCGTAATAATTCTAGATTTATATTATCTTTGAGAGTTTATTATAATTTCATCATAATTAGTATTATAATTTATATTAGAATAGTTTATTTAAGCAAATAATTTTATCAAATACATTCATATAAATAATTAAAATATTACATACTAATCTGAATTTGTTTTCAACCAAACAATAGCTAAATTTTGATATGATTTTCAAATTTCTTTATTAAAGGGATTTATGTCAATTTTATTTATTCAAAGAATAATAATGTAGAAAATAATTTTTAATTAATTATTGGATCATGAAGAAATTAGAAATGCGGTTTGAATTTTAATAAATTAGAAAATTATTTTAATAATATAATTGTAAAAAATTATCAATCAAAAAAGTTAGCTGATAGAAATCTAGGATGATTCTTGACTTTATTATTCAAGTTATCCATCCCATTTATAAATTTTTGATGTTGATTACATTCCATTGAATGTAGATTTCTATCCTATGGTGTAGCTCCCCATCCCTTACATACATAACCAATCTCCAACCTACATATCTATTGGAGCAGTAATATTCTTCACAATAATATCAGCACCATCACATGTCATACCAAAAATAGAGACGTTAGATTAATCTGAAATATAAGAATTTTAGGATTCATCAGAATTAAGAACACCATAAAATTGATCATTTTAATTTTCAAAGGAGATACCATCCATAAGTATACAATTAAAAGAGTGATAAAGTGATTCATTAACATGATAACACAATCTATCATGCTTAATTCTTTTAGTCATTATTCTAAATAAAAGAGAACATGTATTAGCACTGAAATGTCTCCCTGGTTCAGCAATTACCTAATATCCTAAAGGGTCATTTTCAATTTTTTTCAATGCGTTTATTGCATTTTCATGAATATTACCAGAAGGAAATCCACCTCCTATATCCAATAATTCCATCTTATGTCCATACAATCTTCCAATTTTCATGCATTCTTAGGCCATATCAACAGCCTATATATCTTTAAATTAATTACTTTTCCAAAAGATGATGAACCTTAAACAGCACTTCCACAATGAAAATGAATACCATGCAATTAAATTCCCATTTGTTGAATTTACTTAAATCTTTTGTGAGCAGATTCTGAATCTGTCAAATCATCCCCAAATTTTCCAGAAAACAGGGTCGCCATTTAATCTGGGTTCTCTTCAACAATAGATAATCTCCATAGTATCTTCATTTCTGGTGCTATTTTTTGTATCTTTATTAATTCTTCAATTGAGTCTGCATTTGTTATTAAGACTCCATTATTTTTAGCAAATTAGATATCTTTTTCTTCTTTTACCGAATTACTATAAATTAACTTTGAAGCAGGAACTCCATATTTCATTACCATTTAGATTTCCTAACAGTTATTACCAATATTTTACTCCTTTTGACGCACAATCAAAAGTTCCATAAGGGCCATTTAAGANTTTGTTTTCAACCAAACAATAGCTAAATTTTGATATGATTTTCAAATTTCTTTATTAAAGGGATTTATGTCAATTTTATTTATTCAAAGAATAATAATGTAGAAAATAATTTTTAATTAATTATTGGATCATGAAGAAATTAGAAATGCGGTTTGAATTTTAATAAATTAGAAAATTATTTTAATAATATAATTGTAAAAAATTATCAATCAAAAAAGTTAGCTGATAGAAATCTAGGATGATTCTTGACTTTATTATTCAAGTTATCCATCCCATTTATAAATTTTTGATGTTGATTACATTCCATTGAATGTAGATTTCTATCCTATGGTGTAGCTCCCCATCCCTTACATACATAACCAATCTCCAACCTACATATCTATTGGAGCAGTAATATTCTTCACAATAATATCAGCACCATCACATGTCATACCAAAAATAGAGACGTTAGATTAATCTGAAATATAAGAATTTTAGGATTCATCAGAATTAAGAACACCATAAAATTGATCATTTTAATTTTCAAAGGAGATACCATCCATAAGTATACAATTAAAAGAGTGATAAAGTGATTCATTAACATGATAACACAATCTATCATGCTTAATTCTTTTAGTCATTATTCTAAATAAAAGAGAACATGTATTAGCACTGAAATGTCTCCCTGGTTCAGCAATTACCTAATATCCTAAAGGGTCATTTTCAATTTTTTTCAATGCGTTTATTGCATTTTCATGAATATTACCAGAAGGAAATCCACCTCCTATATCCAATAATTCCATCTTATGTCCATACAATCTTCCAATTTTCATGCATTCTTAGGCCATATCAACAGCCTATATATCTTTAAATTAATTACTTTTCCAAAAGATGATGAACCTTAAACAGCACTTCCACAATGAAAATGAATACCATGCAATTAAATTCCCATTTGTTGAATTTACTTAAATCTTTTGTGAGCAGATTCTGAATCTGTCAAATCATCCCCAAATTTTCCAGAAAACAGGGTCGCCATTTAATCTGGGTTCTCTTCAACAATAGATAATCTCCATAGTATCTTCATTTCTGGTGCTATTTTTTGTATCTTTATTAATTCTTCAATTGAGTCTGCATTTGTTATTAAGACTCCATTATTTTTAGCAAATTAGATATCTTTTTCTTCTTTTACCGAATTACTATAAATTAACTTTGAAGCAGGAACTCCATATTTCATTACCATTTAGATTTCCTAACAGTTATTACCAATATTTTACTCCTTTTGACGCACAATCAAAAGTTCCATAAGGGCCATTTAAGATATCTTGTATTATTGGTTTAATAGGATTGCTCTTGATTGCATAATATGGTGTAATCCAAGGAAAGATTTACTTCCATGAGTTGATCTTGTTTTTAAGTTCATTGGGATTGTATATCATAAAAGAATGGTCATATGGATCAATTCTAGCATAATTAAGAAATTCACGCTATTATGATATAGTGAGTTATCTATTATCACATCCTAAAATGATATGAATTTTGATACATATACCTTTTAAGAAGTATAATCTAAAGGCATATTTAGTGGTTTAATTAATTGACCTTGTTAGTCTATTGTGATTGTTCAGCGTATTAAGAAGAAAAGATGATTTATTTAAAAATGATGTCATTTTTTGTTATTTGGATTTAATTCTCAAATATTACGCATTTTTATATATTATATAATAATAAAATGATTCCAAAATAACCTTTAATATTCATTATTATTTTAATTTTCCTGTTTTGGTTACCATTCTAACATAACTATCAATTTGCATTTAAAACTATGTAAATCCAAACAATTAAATAACTCTTTCTCTCCCTCTTTCTCCCATTTCTTTGCTCTTCTCTTAATTTTAATAAATTTCAATCATTCTCTAACACCATTCATTAGTCTTTGATTCACATAAATATCCAGTGACTCCATTTTAAATTGATTCCTATTAATAAATAAAAAATAAATAAATACTTTTGGTCCTCCAGAATTGCATGCAATGACAGGAACTTAATTATACATAGCTTCAACTGGAACTATGCCAAAATGTTCTCTTTCTGGTGTATAAAGAACAGCTAAAGTATTAGACATTAACCAAGTTCTTTCGGAATCAGAAATGTTTTTTTTAAAAGATACATATTCAGCTACATTTTATCGTTAAGCAATCTAATTTAATTCTTCAAAATGTTATGCATTTTCTTCAACTCTTTATTCAAATCCTCCTGCTATTACTAATCTTATTGTTTCTATATTTTCATCTTAAGATAATTATTATCTAAATGCAGCAAATGCATGAATTGCTAATGCAATATTCTTTTTTCTTTCATATCTATTTAAAGACAAGAAATAATTATTCCCAGCTAATCTACTATCATGTCTACTTAAATCTGGAGCCATTTCAAATTTTGAAAATTCTATTGCTGGATATAATACTTCAGGTTATCTACCATATTTATTATAAAGAGGAAAAGCTTGTTTTACTATTTCTCTCGTAAATTAACTATTTACTAATATTAAATTAGCAAAAAGCATGCTAATTTCTTCAAATGAATCTAAAAAAAATCTATAAATTTTTTTTATGAATGATTTTCTTTCTACACACAATAATTTATCAGGAAAGTGACAATAAAATATAGTTTTTCTTCTAAATATCCAAAACAATGGAAGACAAACAGATACTTAATCAATAATGATAACATCCCAACGACCACTAAAAAATATTATGTACAATGTTGCTAATATCATTCTTATGTATGCACACATTGCTGTACAATATCCTTATATATATTACAATTTAACTTACCAAATATATGAGCAGGTATTATATTTCCTCTTACTTCAACTGGTATTTGTCCATTTGTTTCAGGAAATGAATGATTTGGATCATGATGTGGAGTATATATTTTTACATAATGATTTTTCTGCAATGCTAATGCTAAATTCACAACTAATTATTCAGCACCTCCAATACCCAAATCTACTATAAAAAAATTGTTAATTACCAGGATGTAAAAAGGCTATCTTTAATTGTTCCTATTATTATTACATATATTTCTTAATTATATAAACCTCAGTATTAGTTAATATAAAAAAATATACATAATGATGCGTCAATCTAAAAATTATGTTTTTGATAAATTGTTTAAAAAAGATGATAACTCCAGTACCTGATTGTCCACATTATTAAAGAAATTGTGACAAGAAGGCTCCTTGCTGTGGTAAGTTTTATCCCTGTAGACTCTGTCACGATGCCAATTATAAAGGACCAAAATCTGATGGATGTAAAACAGAAATCATGGATCGATATAATGTTACAATAATAAGATGTCGAAAATGCTTTTGTGAATAACCACCAACTAATTAATGTATACAATGTGGAATTCAATTTGCTAAATATTTTTGTTCTATTTGCAAATTATATGATGATGATCCTCTTAAAGACGTGTATCATTGTGATGAATGCAAAATGTGTCGAAGAGTAATTATATTATGTTTATTTCTTCAGGGAATCAAAGAACAAAATTTTCATTGCAAAGTGTGTGGCATATGCTTATCTAAATCAATTTAAGATTCACATAAATGTTTAAATCAAATTGTTGATAATGACTGTCCAATCTGTTTATAAAATCTCAAAATTTCTACAAACTATATAATGCAATTACCTAATTGTCCACATTTCATTCATTAATAATGCTTCAAGCAGCTAATTAATTCCAATTAAAGAAATTGTCCTATATGTAGTATTTCAATTGCTGTAAATATTTCATATATCAAAAATAGAAAATGACAAAAGAAGAAATAGAATAATATGATTAATTAGCTGAAAATTCAAGAAAAATATTACCAACCTAAATCAAAAATTAAAAAGTTTAGATTATATGCTTAGATTGTAGACAAATTTCTAAGGATATTCCTTTCAATTACTATTTAAAATGTAACTAATGTGGTTCATACAATACAAAATAATGAATTATTTATTAAATTTAACTAATTCATTTAATACTGACCAAATTAGATTTTAATTTATAATAATTTTTCTTTTCTACAAAACTTAAAGAAAGAGGTTTTGAAATCCTTTCTAAATTTTAATTTGATTTATAAAAAACTTAGGTTAGGATCTCATATAATAGAAAAATAACTTAAAAATATAAATTATTAAAAAATTCATAATATTCAAAATTTTCTAAATGCATTCTAATTTTAGGTTAATGGTTTTAATTATAATTAAGAATTAGGTTTTAATAAATCTTAAGTTCTTCCGGAAGTTGGAGGTCTGAAAATATTGGTATCAATTTTAGTTGAATTTTGATATTACTTAACTTATTAAGTCTTTTAGGTTGTTTATGGTGATCTTATTCTAAATTAATTTGAAGGTTAGGGTGGGGATAATAATTATTATTATTGATTAGATGATTTTGAAGGAGGTTATGGAGTTTTTTATGTAGAAATCGATTATCTGGATTGTTAAGGTTTTTATTGTTAAGAATTTACTTGTTAAAATTATGCTTTTGGTTAGGGAGTTTCATCATTTAATTAAAATACTCTTCCATATTTTGGATTAGATGCATTTTGTTATTATTAATTTGTTTATTATACTTTCTATTAGTTTACTTAATTCTATTAATATTATTATTGTTAAAATGGAGGTTGTTATAAATTTTATTTCTTCTCTTGAATTGTTTTTGGTTTATTAACTACATTTTAACATATTGCTATATGTTTATCAGCTTTGCTTGGATCAAATTTTCTCTAACAGTAAGGACACTGAATATAATTACTATTAGAAGATACAGGAGGAGGTCCTAATTATTTAATATCACCTCCTTCCTCTTATATTTTTTTCAATTATCTGTTATATTTTACAGTATTAATGAATTCTTCATGATATTTTCTCCATCCAGTTTATGGAGCTTTTTGAACTTCTACTTTATGTTCTTTTTTTTCAAAAAATTTCTTGCCTTTACATACTTTCTAATGCTTTTTGATCCTATCTTCTGCAAATCTCCTATCACATTTTTCACATGTAATTAAATTATTTTCATCTTCCTAATCTTATTAATCCTCATCATCAGAATAATGGTTTTATTAATTTTAAATAGATTATTATTATTGTTATACTTAAGATTATTATTTTTATATTGATTTGGTTTATTCTGGAACATTTTTATTATTGTTTTCATTTTTTTGATAATTTTCAAAAACTGAGCTCATATATATAGTTTATAAGGCTTAGGATGGATTAGATATTTAGATCAAATCATCATAGATTTATGGTTTCAAACCTTAATTTTTACAATTTTACACATGCTATTTTAAATCTTACACATTATTGCAATCTTAAAAACATTTATAACCTAAAAAATGAAAAAACAGTTATACATTTCAAACTTTTATCATTAAAATTAACAGATGTTTTTGAAAAGCTTTATTATTGCTAAATTTATCTTGTTTATTATTTATTATTCTATTATGGGGTTTCAAAGTTTTGATTTTATTTTTATTACTATTTTTATTCCTATTTTTATTCCTATTTTAAAAATCCATTAGCCTAAGTTTATGATGCTCCTTTAATATCTTTACAATTTGTTTCATGTTTTTCAACTCTTGATGGTAAGAATTTCCTTCCACATTTTTTACAAGGTACTAATTCAACTGTTCCTCCCTCCTCGATAGCATCAAGAGCTTTAAAAGGATTATCTGCGGTGCAAGCCTTTATATGATGCTCTAGGGCTTCTGGTTTAAATGTTCTTCCACAATTCTTACATGCAACTAATGCTTCTTTGTTGTATTTATTAAATGCCTTAATATAATAGTGTGATATTTATACTCCATTATTATAAGCAATAATATCTTCCATAGTTATGTCTTCTTTATTTAATAAATCCCAAAGACCTCTTGGAGTTGTTGGTGGATTCCTTCTTTCAGCTTTTGGTTTCTTCATTTCTTATACTATAAACATTTCTTTGCATTATGGAATATGAATTCCCAAAGATTTTGTACCATATTCTCTACCACAGATATAGCATACCAAAGTCTTTGGTCTAACAGGAGCTTTATATTCTCCTGAATAACCAGTAGAATTTGATTTTCCTTATTAAGATCCTCCATTATCTCGATTAATTTATTACTGGACTTCTTTAGGGTTTTAAACAAATCCAGGAAGAGGTTTGAATGGTTTATCAGGCTTACACACCTTTAAATGGATTGGATAACTTTCTCTATTAAAACTATAGGCATAATTTGATTCTTTTACGTTCTTCCACAATATGCACATTTCTCAAGACTTTATTCTTTATAAGCATTAAATGCTTATTCGTTATATGATTCAGTATCATAATTCCCACTTCCACCTATAGCTTTTGGAGGTTAAGGCAAAGGTCTTCTCTAATTTTTTGGTTTCTAATGAAAAAATATTATCCATATTTGTACTTTTGCTTCTTCCATTAAAAATTTCTCTTAGCATGTTTTAAGATGAATTTCTAAGCTTTTGGTACCATATCTAATTTATTAACTAATGTTATTACTCTCTTCCACAAATATAACAAATTAATGTTTTTGGTCTCACTCCTGGATTATAGCCTTGGTTGTTTAATCCTTACATATTTTATAATTAAACTATTTATATAATTATATACATAATCGTAATAATCAATTATATAAAATACTAACTTATTTATCATGAAATCATTATTAAATGAAAAATATTTTTAATCATAATACTTGGACTAACAGAACGCTAAATTAACATTCATTATAATTTATGCTTTAAAGCCATGAATATTAATAATAATTATATAAAATATTAAATAAAATATTATGAAAAAAGATTAAGATGTAAATGTAATAGATCAAACTGAGACCATTTTTTATCTAAATCCTTAAAGCAAATCATAAATAATTAAACATTAATCTAATGGAATTATAACTGAGTTAAATTACTATTAAGGCATGCAGACAATTTTAAAAAAGAAAATTATTCTCTAAAGCAAATTAATGAATATAAATGTGTAATTAGATATAATGACAGAAATTTCCAATTTAATAAATAATAACGAAACAAACTTAAAAATGTGCTTCATCGATTCGCAAGAATAATAATCAGATTAATAGATGCTTTTTTAATTAATTTATGCTATAACAATTTGTTATGGGCATTAAATAAGAGAAAAAGAAATTGATGAAGCGATAGTAGAAATAAGCAATCAAATAAATTTAATATGTTAAGATACTTATGTTAAAGGGGATTTCAATTTAAAACAAAAGATAGTTTAACTGTTTGAGAGGTATTCGGAACTGCTCGCTTGAATTTGATTAAATAAATATATAGTGTTTTAGTTAATTTATTATTATTTTTCATTTCTTCATTAAAATTTGCATTGCTTTTTATATTTCTATATTAGAATCCAACTAAGAAGGAGAAACATAATTTGATTTATAATTTTCAGCTGGCCTTCTTTCAAACTTTGTTTCATTAAATTTCGGTTATTCCTAGGGTGATGCTTACTTAAATAAATAAAATATACTTAATTATTTTGGTTTCTTATATAGTTCTTTAGCTTATCTTTATTAGTTTGTTTATGCAGAATTATTTGTTTGTTGTTGCAATTTTGATTTTTTAAATTCTAAAAAATCTTTGTAATCGTTATCATCAATAATTTATTTTTATTTTTTTGCAGCCTCCTTAAATCTTATAAAATCTAAATATTCCTAATCTAATTCTAATTCCTCCTTTTTTTAAAAATGAATTTGCTTTTCTTAATTTTGATTATTCTATTTTGGCAAAGGTGGTCTTGTAAAACTATCTAATGTTTATTGAGGATAATATTAAAATTAAAAATTATCGTATTAATCAGAATATAGTTACTAATGATAATTTTAGTGAGGCTATTAATACATTTGTTATTATTAATGAATATATTAATTAGGGTATTGATTTTGAGATGGATAATATTATTATTAAATCGGATGTTACTGAGATGGTATATGTGAATGTGATGATGGAATTAAATTTTATTCTTTAAATGAATTTCTTCTTTTTTAATTATTATATTAATTTTAATAAGGATCTGGAATAATTTCATCATATGATCTTTTTCTTTAATAATTTTAATATTGAGAGTAAGGAGGTGTTTAATAATTTTTAGGTTGTTGAGGAGCATTTGCCTATTGATAAAATTGAGGATTATATTATTATTATAAAGGAAAAGGAGGATAATAATTATCCTAATAGTTTTAAATTGGTATTTTTGGATGTTATAACATATTAAGTGCAATCTTAGCATTATCAATATGATTTTAATGTCTCTAAATTTTATCATAATAATTATTTTATGGATGCTAATGTATTGGAGTATTATTATAATAATATTCTTAAGGATTATGATAATTATATTATTATAATGAACCTCTTTCTAATTATGCATAACTTGAAAATGCATTATACTTTCTAAATTCATTAAATTCATCCTTTATTGGTTTTTATTACTCCTCTTATTCTTCTTCTTCCTCCTCTTCCTCCTCTTCTTCCTCTTCTTCACTTTCCAATTCTTAACTGCCTTCTTCACTCATTATTTGAAACTAAAATTGATTAAATTAATAAATAAATGGAAGTTCATGAATATTATAGAACAAAGCCGGATTATAATTCAAATTTTTTTGAGCCAAAATATTTTCTAATGTCTATGATGTTGTTGTTTGCCCTTTATTTTATTTTAAAAAACACTAACAATAGAAGAGAGCCAATAAAAGTAATATTATAATCTATTAATAAAGGATAGAGTTTGGAGAAAGTTTGCATTCTCATATCAAGAAATGATGAATACATTTGATAATACAGATAAGGAACTTCTTAAAAATACTTTCCATAATACAATTTTCAATACAAAACCATCGAATGTTATGAATGATGTAAGAAAACTTAATAAAAAAAATCTAAGTGTTCAATTCGATTTAAATAAAAATATTACACACTTATTCCAATATAATGGATTTTGAGATAAGCAAACTGATTGACAAAATTATTAATTAAACAAACACTTAATATATACAAATAAGTTTTCATTATTTGAATATTTCTATAAAACTAAATTTAATAAATACCTCAAATGTATTAAGTATTTATATCTCAAAATTCAATTTCATTAAAGTATAATAATTTGAATAGGATAAAAATGTCCAAAGAAGTTGTAATAATAGAATAAAATGCTAATTAAATAAAGTCGTCTTTCCAAAGATGGTTGGTCCTGTTATCATATTCAATCATAGCGTATAAAGAAATTGATTAAATTAATAGGATGGCTAATGTAATGTAGTTAGTGAGTTACAGCCCAATTTGGGAACAAGCAGCTATATATTATGGTATCCCGTCAGAAGACTTATAATGGATAGGAAATATGTATTATATCACATTTTTCGTTCTGGCACCATTTTGTATAAAGCCTCTTTTAGTAAGATTAGATATAAGTATGCATTTGATTGGGATCCTTAGTGCAATAGGGTATATTTTTTTCATCATCTAATTTTAAAGGGCATGGATTATATGGATTGGAGGATAATCATATTAGATGACTATGATAGGCTTATTCATAATTGGAATTAGTGATGCTATGATTTTAATAGTTCCAGTTTGTAATTCAGTTCGTAATTTATTAAAGTTCTCTCTGAAAAATGGTTCACTATATATGAGAGATTGTTAGCAACTAGTCTAGGTAGTTTTTTCCAATATATTGGAATGGCATTTGCTTATGGATTTTCTTCATTTTATTTTGATATTATGGATGAATAAAGTAATATAAATAGAAAAATTGATGAAATGAATTTGATGATAGCTATTTTCAATTCGATTGGAGCAATTCTTCTTATTTTGTTTTTTAGAAATAGACCCCCTCATCCAGCCTCGAACTCGGATGTATCAAATATATTGGTGTATAAAGAATATAGTGAAAGACACAATAATGAAGTCTACTATCAAGATGATTACGATGGAACAATCAATAATCGACTTAATGTCTTTAGGGATTTGTAAATATATAAAATTATTAATAGTTATTGGATTTGGCTGGGTTTATACAACTATTATATCTTTTGAATTGTATCATTTTGGTTACACTTAAGTAATTATAAAATAATAATAAATAAGACAGAAGTTGCAATAAACGGAACTGTCTATCAAATATCAGGAGTAATTGTTGGCCTGTGGGCTTCGAAAAAATTAGATTCATAGGCCAAATAGGGAATTTAACCTGATTATGACAGATACATAAAAATCTTTACAAGCATTGGAATGATCGCTTTGATTTTAGAAGCATTTATCTTAGAATATTTATAATTTTGGATGCTGAATTTCATAAACTTTGCCATGGGTGTGGGTCTAAATTCTTTTTATCCCATAGCAATATAGTCTTATATTGAAAAACTTTACCCTGCTTAAGAATTAGTTTTGGTTACTGGATTATTATGTTTAGCAAATGTATTTATTTAAATAAAAAGTAAAGATGGTTGGATTTGTTCTGAATTACTTGATTGTTTTGCCTGAATTCTCATAATTTGGATTGTGGATAGGATGTTTAACTATAACTCCAGGTTATTTATATATCTTGTTAAATTATAAAACAAAATATCGAAGATTTGAATAGGAAATTTGATAATATTAATTATATATAATAATTGTGTTTTTATGGAAAATAAAGCCATGAGATATTTTGGAATGAGCCTTAACGTTTTAATATCCGTTTTTCTTGCTCTTTTAGAAATTTACGTCAATTAAGTCTCCGATTCAATCATAATTGATGTTGTTTTAATTCTCTGTGGAACTTTTTTCTCTTGGATTTTCATCAGTCAAAAATTAGGATGGAAGATGGGTAAACTTCAATATTACTTTAGCGGATATATCACCCTTTTTTTTTTGGGCTTTAGCCATCAAGAGAATAATTCTGGTTGGAATTTAGAGAAACGAATTTGTTTTTTTTTTATTTGGTTTCCTTAATGGAATTTATGCAAGTAAATTAGAAATTAAAGATAAAAAGAGGTATTATTTGAAAGCTAAAACGGCTTTTGAAGTTTTACTCATAATGGTTTTAACCATTTTTAACTTTCTAACTAATACTATAAATAATCATATCATTTTAATCATCTTTTACATTATTCTATTTGTTCTTATAGGAATATTTGAAAATGTAAATACAGAAATTTATCCTATTGCATTAAAATAAGAGAATTGCATTACTGATTAAAGAAATACTTAAGCAGAACTAAAAAAATGTTAAACAATTATTCAATAATATCAATCAACTAAATCAATTTGGGAATAATTTAACAATCTTACTGATGATTGGATTTGTTAAATTGATATTACAAAATCAACTTTCAATAATGATTGGGAAATTTAAAGTTAAAGTTTTGTTTTAAAGAAATTTTTAAAAGAAAATAAAACAAATTTACGCTAATTTTTTAATCATCTATAAATAGTTAATTAATCATAAAGTATATCTCAATCAAGTTTAGATGAAAATAATACATTTTTAAATTGGTTAGAGAAAAATTATTTGTAAAAAAAATGGCAGAATAGATTAAATTTTTAGAAATAAAAATAATTTTAAAATGGATAAGATTCAAACTAGTAATTTTAAGAAGATTAATAATCAATGATATCTCCATAAAATGATGGAAGATTTATGGACCAAAAGGATCAAATTTTAGACTGTCCTGCTTAATCTGCAGCTCTAATAAATATGGATACAAAAGAATCTGTTCATAAAACTTAAATATAATGTTAATTATCACTTAATTCAATAAAACTTAATTTAAATCTTATAATATATTTAGTGGAAGATGATAGATGTAATGATCATAAATAATATTCAATTATTATTCATATGAAAAATATTCCAAAGAATGAAATCCTAGATTCATAGCGACTAATATTTTATAGATATGCTGGTAGAATTGCTGATAAATCAAGTTAAATGCTTTAGCAAGTCACTCTTATGAAAAAGTCCCTCTAACTCTAATTAACGTATTTATTTCATTTAAATTAAAGATAATTCGATAAGATCAAGTAAAGCAATTTTGGTTCTTTATCATATTATGATGATAATGCATTTAATAAATCAATCCAAATTAGAGATTTTAAACAAGCTTATTTAAATATTTAAAAACAATCACCAAGGTAAAATACAAATTAAAAAGTTACTTCTACTCTTAGTCACAATCATGATAGTTTGGATGAGAACATTTAAAAATTATCAATTTCATATTTCCAACAATTATAAGAAATATTTAAGTAGATAGATAAACTAAACTTTGATCTAATAATAATGGAATAAAACAATTTTAATTTCTTTGAATTATTTAGTAATCCTTAATTAGATATTGAATAATTTAATATATTAACAAGTATTAATATTGTCAAAGAATTTTTTTAATAAAATCCTTTCTTAAATTAGCACAACATCATAATTACTTAAGAGTTAAATAATGAAACTTAAGTGATAATATAATCTGACAAAAGAAAAATTAAATAAATATTAATTAACATTATTAATAATTCAATTGAAAAGTTTGAGCTAAATTAAAAAGAATTACAACTTAGTAAAAATGAAAATTCATAAATTTAATAAAGATAAACAATCTAAAAATAAGATCTTAAATATTAAAATACAATAGTCATTAAAACATAATGTGATATTGATAAAATAATTATTGAAATCTCTGATCAATTTGGTGGTATAGATTAAGAATAGCTTAACAACAGATTGAATGACTGTAAATTTGGTTTATCAGCTTCTCAGAAAATTTTAAGATATTTGGCTTACGATCCTCAAAAACCTTTAGAGATTATTAATTATGAAAAGTGTTCTACCGGAGTTAAAGGCACAGTAGTTAGATTTGTCTTGCCAAAAACTAGAGATAATTTTTAATTACTTGAAGAAAGCAATCACATGGAATCCTTGACGGTTAAAATAATAAGAGATAAATCTTGATCATATTTTTATAATTGTATTATTCTTTTTTATAATGATAACTCCTAGAAAACTCAAGTCATCAATTTTTAGTCAAATAAAATATGATCTCATTTTTCTTTTTCTTGTAAAATTTGTTTTCTTTGGAAATTATAAAATCTTATATAATTTAGTCTATCATTTCTAAATAAAAAAATCAATTAATTACTAATATTAAGTCATAAAAAATTTTAAAAAAATTTAATTTTATTAAGACACATAATCAATATGGCAAAAGCAATAAAATATTAAAATTGATCAAGGTAAATTAATTCTCATATAGTGAATAATATAATTAATTAAATCAAAAGCATATTATTTGCTTTCAAACATTAAACTCAATATTAGAGTGTATGTAAATGTTAAGAGGGACGCTTTTCAATTCTAATTTTAGAAACCTCTAAATATTTTGGCAAGGAGAACTTTTTTCTAATTGAATTAAATTGCTTCTTATCTTGACCTTGTAGGAGATTACACATTTCTTTTGCACAAGTTCTGATGTCAATTTCATTTAATCCAGTTATAGATACCATCGAATCTTAACTCCAAGAGGGATGAATTCTTCTGATTTTATGAACTAAATAAATAGCAGCACTTGCTAAAACATTATTTGAATATTAAATCATAGAATATTCTAGTAATGACAGTTCTATTAAATATCTAGAGGTTTTGATAAAATGTATTGTACCTGCAAAGCATAAAATTTTTTTAATCCAGTTTAGCTGTTTCTTAATAAATGTTTAGCATTCTATACGGGCTAGTTGTTAACAGATCAAAAGATAGTAATGAAATAATTTTTCCCTCTGCTTCTAAAATTTCTTCTTTGGGATATGCATTATCACAAACATACACTAAATCTCTTACATGAGGGACAGAGTATACTTCTTCATATTTAGATGCTATAAATAATGCAGCAATTCCATAAAGTTAAAATTTTTATTTTGGTATCTGATGTAATTCAAGTACTCTCAAATTTAGGTAATACATACCTATTAACTATTGAAATTGTCAGGAAAAGGGTTTCTGGATCTAATTTGAATTTATGATGAACGTCTATTAACCAATCTAGTAGAATACTACGCATTTTTTCTGTGATTTCTGTTTAAAATTAGAAAGCAGTCATTTTAAAATTAGATTTGCTCTAAATTAAGTATATTAATTACACTTCTATCTCTCATATATGTGACAATTTCATTTTTATATCCATTTACTAATTGAGGATTTTCAGCTTTTTAAGGTAATTAAAAAGTAGTTTTATTTGTTAAAATTGCAGTAACCCCACTTGTTATACTTAGATTTCTTCCATTTCTTAATGGCATAGGCATATTTGAGTCTGTTTTTACCCTTTAAAAGCCTTCTCTAGTTCTATTGCTTTAATCTTCATTTAATTTCAATTGAGGTTTTTAAGGAGGCATCATAGAATGAAATGAATTTGATGATTTTTCTCTTATGGCTAGAGATGATTGTACTCTTTAATGTTTTGCAGCACAGTAAAAATTTTCTTTTTAGTAATCTGCAACACAAAATAATCTTGGAATTTAATGTGCTTTCATTTTGAATATAAATTATTTAACGGAAAAAAATCCCTATTTAATTTAAAGAACAATATTCATTTTATTTTTTTTCTTCCTTCAATATGTCTTCTTCAAATATGGTTAAAAATATTTTTTTTAAACTTTGCATTTAAATAGTTAAAATCTGAAAATTTAATCATATGTTATTTTATATTAGAAATAATATTAAAATATGAGTTAATGTATGATTTAAATGCTTAATGTTTTTTTTTATTTCAATTGGTGTTAAGTCTCATTAAATTAAGTTTATAATTTTCATTTGGATTTTATTTTGATTATTGTTAATTTTAAAATCTTAAAGTACCATTAATATTATAAATATGAATGAACTTAAATAGTTTTCTTATTTATGGATATGAAGTAAATTGAAAGCTTTTAAATGTAAGAAAATAAAAATGGAAAATAAGACTAATTATTGTCGAAGGAAAATGTCTAAAATAATAAAAAATAGTTATTCAAAAAAAATATTGGAATATCTTAAATTGTATGGTTTTTTTGAGTCATCTGAACTTTCATAAAGAAGGAAGTTGATGAAATTAAAATATAAAAAGTGTATTAGAAATAAAAAATTTTCGTAATTATGGAATAATGAAAGAATCAAGGTGACAGAAATGAATAAAAATAGTAAAGAATAGGAGATTAAAAGGGATTTAAATAGCTGGTAAGTTTTGGGAAATAAAAATGTTAATTAATTATGTAATAAAGCGAATAGGAACAATAAAAGGAGTAAGAAATTGCTCAAAATGAGATGCCTGATTTAATTGTCAATCCTTATGAAGTGGTTAACAATTCCAAGAAGCAAATAGACTACGATAAGTTGATCCAATCGTTCGGTTGTTAGAGAATAGAGTAAAGTCACATAGAACGCATATAAGCCTTAACTTAAAAGCCTGTGCATCATTATCTAAGACGTGGAATTTTCTTTTCACATCGTGATTTAAATTAGGTATTAGATGCCTATGAAGCTGGAAAAGGGTTCTATTTATATACAGGTAGAGGACCATCAGGAGATTCAATGCACGTGGGACATTTGATGCCATTTATATTTACTAAATATTTATAGGAAGCCTTTGATGTACCAGTTGTGATTGAATTATCAGATGATGAGAAGTTTTTCCATAAGAGTGAAACAACTTTGGAAGAATATCAGCGATATGGATATGAAAATGCAAAAGACATTATTGCATGTGGATTCGATGTGAACAAAACATTCATTTTCCTAAGCTCAAAATATGCAGGTCATATGTATCATAACATTTGTAAATTCCAACATGCCATAACCTATTCATAATTAAGAGGAATATTTGGTTTAAATGAATCTGATAATTGTGGGAAAGTTGCTTATCCTGCAGTTTAAGCTGCTCCGTCTTTGTCTTCATCTTTTAGACACATTTTCGGAAAGGATGAAGTTATGTGTTTAGTTCCTCAAGGCATAGATCAAGACCCATATTTCAGAATGACTAGAGATGTATGTTATAAACTCAAGGTTCCTAAAACTGGATGCATTCATTCCCAATTTCTACCAGGATTACATGGATTTGGTACAAAAATGGGAACTACAGATCCAACATCTGCCATCTTCTTAACAGATAGTCCAAAAGAGATTGAAGAAAAAGTTATCTATTTATTTATTTAATTAGGTCAAAAAACATGCATTGTCTGGTGGAGGTATGACTAAAAAAGAACATCAAGAAAAAGGAGCTGATCTTACTGTTGATGTTCCATATCATTATTTAAGATTTTTCTTAGAAGATGATGCTCGTCTTGAGGAAATCAGAGTATAATATGGAAAAGGTGTAATGATGACAAGTGAAGTTAAAAAAGAATTAATTACAGTCCTTACTAAAATTGTTACAGAACACTAATAGAGAAGAGCACTTGTTACAGATGAAATTGTTGAAAAATTTATGGAATTAAGACCTTTAAGCAATTATCCACCAAAGAAGAATAATTGAGATATTATAAAATAAAAACATTAATATTATTAAAATGCTCTCTGGAAGAGAAGAATAAGACAAAAATAATACTAAAGTATACATCTCAATTTATCATTTTAAAGTGTGGAAAAGGAAATGCTGAAAGTGAATAATTACCTTAATACTTAAGATCTTCTTATTCATAAACTTATTAATAATTAGAACCTACTAAAATTTTGAAGGGAAAAAAGGTGTCCTGATATTTATCAATTTTAGGTATTTCCCTAATTTGCTTATGGAAATTCTCATGAAGCTCCAACTTATTTTAAACTATCTAATTCTTTAGTCTGTCGAGAAAGCTATGATAATCCATATATTAAGAATAAAGTACCTCCGTTAAGCAAAATTGATTCTCTTAAGGGAAGCACTCTTAATAATTATGAATTTTATAATGTTTCTGATTAAAGATTCACAAATAGAAAACCTACAGGTTACATTACTAATAAAATAACTGAGTATAAAATTAATTCTGACATTAAGTACAATAACAAATTAAGTCAAAATTGTATAAAAACCATTAAATGATGACAAGGATCAAATCTTTACTTTTGAAAATGCTTACAAATCTATTTAAGATAAACTTTTCAATAAAAAACGAGGTACTTTTTCAAACTTATTTTTAAGAACTTTTTACAGATTTTGTCGAAAAAAATGATTTACTCAATGTCTATGGACCATTAAATATGAGAACAAGACCAAAAGAATTTAGAGAAGTTAAAAATTATGCTCTAGATTCTTAATAACTTAAATTATTGAAAGAATAAAGATCTAGATAATAAATCACTCCAACTAATAGAAGTGGTTTCTCTGATCTTATTAAAACTGTTAGACTCCCTACTATATCTAAAATGTAAGGATTAGATACAGATAAATATTATAATAAAGATTAAAATTATCTCAATTAATTAACTAATTCAATCATTGTTGAAAAAATTGATTAGAATATCAAACATAAAAATAAAACTCTCTAAAGTTTCAATAAAAATAAACATTCAACCAAAAATAATACAGAGGATTCTGAAAATATGCAAGGAATTATTGATATATTTGAAAAGCATTTAGAATTCGAAAAATAATATAATGGTTGAAATTATAATTAAAATTATATATTTTAATTCAAAATTGATCTGTGTAATAGCTTAATTGCTCTTTTAGTTTCTAAATTTTAAAGTCTTTCTTATCAAGTGCTTCTTATACTATAGATTCAAATTTTGTAATATCATCATAATGTTGCTATTTCATATTTTAAAGCTTTTCTTCATAATGCTGTTTTAATTATTAATTTTAGACTTTGAGTTATTCAATTTTCTCATAAGCAATTTTTTTTTCTTCTTCTAAATTTATTAACAAAGTTTCAATTTAAATTAATTTATTACTAAATTCTTCTGATTATTAGAGGGACTTGAAATTTTCTTCCTACAAGAAATGAAGTTGCTCAATCAATTCATTTTAACTTTCTTAAGGTTCTTATTTTTAATATTGTGCTAATTATAACTATAAATCTTTTTTATCTTATAAAATCTTATCGATGAAAGCTACATACTCTTATAAAATGGTTTAGAATTCATTTTTTTATTTCAATAAATCAGCCTCCAATTTAGACTTCCTAATTAAATTAATTATATATACATTTCTAATTTCATCTAGATTATTGTTTCTTTAAGTTTACGATTTTCAAGAGTTAAGTTATTTTCTTCACTCAAATATGGTTATGCTCTTTTTGTTTACATTTATGGTACATCTACAGATATTTCTTAATTCTCGTCTGTAGGGTGTGATTCCCATAATTTTTAAGTCAACTCTTAATAAAATTTTTGATCATTAGAAAATTAACCTTTAGCAATTGAAGGATGTGCATCTGGAGACTTTTTTTTTTTTAATTAGGAATACATTAATTTATTTCAGTTAAAAAAAATTATATATAATAATATCAATCTCTTCTCAACACATTTTTCTTAATTATAGAGTTCTTCTATTTTTTCTAATCTTGCTCTGCGTTAAGAATGTTTAAGTACTTTCCTATAATCAACTTGATAATCTTTTAAGTACTTACAAAATGAATAGGTTTGAAGTCCCTCATTTTATTATTTTATAATACTCATTAGAGTAGTTAAATGTTCTGGATTTTTTCTTCCAATCAAAATTACCAGATTTGAATTTAAAATTACATTCAAAATACCATGTCGGTGATATCTTTCTATTTATTATATTAGCCGACTTCCAAATATTTAAGCTTATAATTCAGTCAAGTTGTGCTATCTAAGAGCTAATCTATAAATATCTGACTTTTTGAAAGAAAGGCAATCTTTTAAAAGATTTAATGAATTAACATCATTTAACAATTTAAATAATAATGGTAAGTATCTCTCTTAATAGTGATTTTTTTTCATAAACTCTATAATAATTGTAGGAAGCAAATCCTTAAAAATTTATGAATCTTATAATTAGAAACTCATAATTTCATTCATTATTTTTAATGGATTATCTTTGATTTTTCTAATTAAATCGTTATGTATTTTAGATTTAAGGTTTTCTTGTTTTATGATAGCATATGAATGAAAAGGATGAAGGATTGCTTTCTCTTCATTAATCAAGGAATCAACTTCTTATCTACAAATAAATTTCAAATACAAAAGACCCTATGCTGGATAGGAAAATTTACAAACCTGATTAATATAATCAGAAAAAATAGTTAATTTTTACATAGAATAATCTGTTAATTTTAATTTTCTTAAAGGTAAAAAAATTGAACCCAACTTATTTGCTTATTGAACTGAATGTGTATTAGTTTCTTATTATAATCTTTAAATAATTTCATCAATTAATATTTCAATTTCTTATTAAGTACAAATAGACTCAAGATTTATTAAAATTTACTAAATAAAGTGGACTGATATCTTTTAAGGTTTTAAGGTTAGTTATTTGAAGAGAAATTCTTTAATTTTAATTTCTAAATTTGGAGTTACATCTACAGGCAATAATTAATAATTGATTACAATGGATAAAATTGTATGTTCATCCATCTTATTAAGATTATCTATTAAAAATTATCTCATTTTGATTAAGATGGGATGAGACTCTAAATAAGGATTCAAATATTAATATTTGATTTTAAGTAACATAATGTAAAATTGAGTGACTTATTAGAAATCATAATAGTGTGAATTAGAATCATAATGAGAAATACAAAATTCAACCAATTCTGAATTAAGAAATTTTCTTTTTTAAGATTTCATCATTTCACATCTTAATAAAAGAACTACTTCCATAGATGAAAGTGGTTCACTAGTTAATCTATCATAAACTAATTTATGTATTTATGGTAACATCATGTTTACTACTTAAGAATCATACCAAATGTTTATGTAATGTCTAATACTGAAATCAGAGCAATTTTGTAAAGTTTAATTTAAAGAATTTGATAGGTTTTTATCATCAACATTTTCAAGCAATTTTTATTGTCCCTTTAATTAATATTTAGATTTAAAACAAAGTAATTCAAGCAAATCAATGGGATTGAGTTAATTAAGGTGATTGTTTAATAATGTTGAAATTTCTTTCATTCCATTCTGAAAAATGGAATCCTATTAATAAGCTTTAAGAGAATTTAAGAAATGAGCAATAATACGAATTGTAAGTAATGAATGCTATAAGCCAAATATATTTTTATTCTAGTTAAATATATCGATCAATATTTTAGGATCTACATGTTGACTGATGAGTGCCATCAATTCTTGTTCATTTCTCACAGTTTTAACATTTTCGTTCGGAATATCAAAAATATCAATATCATTATCTGATTCATTGTCTACATTATCTTAAAATACGAAATTTAGTAAATTAGAATGAGTAGAAAATCTCTATTTCAATAATGTTCTAAAAATTATCATAAATATTTTTATTATTATTTTTCATTTGATAACAATTGTATTATTTCTAACAAATTACAAGACTGATTCAACATCTCTATTTTCACCTGTCCAAGCAATTGCTTTTCTCTGTTTGTCTGCTGCTCTAAATAATACTAGATCAGGATAGGAATGTGGTGAATAAACATCTGAAATTTCATTGTCTGGAGCATTTATTTAAGCAACAACTATATTAGGATTATCTCTTAATTCATATGCAATTTAATCATAGATTGGTTTAAATTATTTGCAAGCTCCACACCATTCTGCATAGAATTCTAATAAAACATCTTTTTTGTTTTTGATTACCTCTTCATCATAATTCAAAGCTACAATTTTCTAAATGGTTAATATCATTTATTATTACTTTAACATAAGTTTTCTCTTAAGAATAATCAGGTAATGGTTCAGATTTAATAAACTTTTCTAATTTACCTTATCTAAAATCAAAAATAAAGTTCTTGATTCCTTTAACTGTAAAATCAGGTCCATTATATTTATATTTTAATCCTTAGTTCCAAGCAATAATTTTAGGGAATACATTATCATCTGCTCCAAGATTATTTAATTGATCAAAAAATTTTTCATCTGTAATTTTAGTAAATGAAAATTAATAAGTCTTCTTAAACAATTATGCAGTTTCAAGGAATGCTTTTTCAGCTTTAATAGATTATTCATCTAAACTACTAAATAAAATAAAAGCTGGAGTAGCTCCAGAATAAACTAATTTTTCTGATTAATCATTTAATTATGGCACATCAGGTAATTAATTTTGTAATAAAAATCTTTGAATATTTTGTTTAGTAAATGCTTGATTGAATTATTTCTTTTCTAAGGTTTCTTTAGAATAATAATATAATCGTCCTGGTTTACCAATAGGTAGAAGGAATGAGAAAGCAAATGCAGCATCTGAATTAGTTTTGCTCATTTCGAAAAATGTCCAATAATTAAGATCACTAACATTGTTTTCTGAAACTTAATAAAAAAGTACAACATCATTATCATTTAAAAATTGATTGAATTATTCTTATGATAAAATCTCTGTAGGATCAGGTCCATTAACTAACTAAAATGATATTAATTATATATATGATATACTTATAACATCCATTAGAGTATAGAATTAGCACTTCTTTATCCAGTAAATGAGAAAGGTTTTCCATCCATAAAAAAGATAAATGTTGGGAAAGAGGAAATTTTGAATTTTTCAAGAGCATATCTATCAGGATCTCTTTGTGAATCATAAGCAGCACAAACAATTGAATGTTTAGATGCTTTATCTGTAAGTTGCTGATATTCAGTGGCAAATTGTTTGCATGGAGCACACCAAGATGCATAAAATTCAACTAAAATTAATCGATGACCTGATATTAATGCATCAACATTATTTGGCAATGCAACTATTGGCTACATTTATGGCTCTTGTTTCTCAACTGTTGTAGGATTTTCATCTTAAACTACTACTGTTTCTGTAGGATCTTATGCTAAGACTAATACAATGAAACACACTATTAGATTAAATTTCATTATTTATTAATAAATGAACAAAGTTGAAGATTCTACAACAAAACTATTGTAAGCTGATTTTCTTTCAATCGAATAAAACAATAATAGTAATTTAATACCTCAAGAAAATTAAAGCATTTCATTGAAACAAAAAATTAAAAATATTTTCGTTGTACCAATATAGAAATCTTCTCGTAATATAAGTTTAGATGGACGATGTGCTCCTATTAATTTATAAAGCAATGTAATTAAGAATTCTAAATATAATGTTATCACATTTTTACCAAAAGTGCTTTATGAATAGTTTCATCAATTCATTAACATCTTTTATTTAGGATTAACAATTTCATAATTCATTTAACCTTTTAAAGTTGGATTTCTTATTGGATATTTAGGTCCTCTAGCTTTAGTGGTTACCTTAAGTGTTCTTAAAGAATTGTATGATGACATTAAAAGACATAAAAGAGATAGATAAATTAATAGTACAATTTATAAGCGCTATTTAAATGGTTAATGGCAAGATATTACTAGTGGACAACTACAAGTAGGAATGATCATTAAAATTAACAGTAATTAACGTATACCTGCAGACATTCTAGTTTTAGAGGCAAGTGATGATTAAGTATTTATTCGTACAGATTAATTGGATGGAGAAACAGACTGGAAATTAAGAAAACCTGTTCAATTTATTTAAAAGAAAGGATTATAAAACTTGGATTTGACTAAATGCTCTTTAATTTGTGATCCTCCTTAAGAAAATATATATGATTTTCATGCTGTATTTCATTAGGAATAAACATAAGAACCATAATCATTAGAAAATGTTATGTGGGCAAGTACAGTGCTAGCAAATGGTAGTATTAATGGGATAGTAATATATAATGGATTCGAAACAAGAATGGCAATGAATAGTAGAAAACCTTAAACTAAATTTGGGAAAATCGATAGTATTAATATTAAATATTTACTTAGCTGAAATAAATTATATGTCTATAATGTTATTTATTGCAATGGGACTTTTGTCAATAATAATAACCATTCTTTCTCAACCTCCTTTAAATATTTTAGCAATAAGCGTTGCATTAGTTAGATACCTGATTTTGTTATCGAATATTATTCCAATATCTATGAGAGTTAACGTAGAATTTGCAAAATTAATATATTGTTATAAGATATCAATAGATAAAGGGATAGAAGGTACGATACCTAGAAATTCAAATATTCCTGAGTCGTTGGGTAGAATAGAATATTTGTTAACTGATAAAACTGGTACATTAACATAGAATGATATGATTTTTAAGAAATTATCATTAGCATCAAAAGTTTATACTTAAGAGAATTATGATGAAATGAAAATAAGTTTATAAAATGAGAATGGATTAAGATAAGATGAAACTATACTAAGAGATTTATTATTAGCAATAGCATTATGTCATAATGTAACTCCAATAGAAGAGAATGGAGAGAGATAATATTAAGCATCATCTCCAGATGAAGTAGCTTTAGTGAAGATAGCTGAATCTCTTGGAATAAGTTTATTAAGTAGAGATTAAAATTCGATGGTTATAAAATATAATGAAATAGAAAGAAATTATGAAATTTTATAAAATTTTCCATTTTCTAGTGAGAGTAAAAGAATGGGAATTCTATTAAGACTAGGAGAGCATTATATATTTTATTTAAAAGGAGCAGATGCAATAATGAAATAGTTTTTACCAGAAACATAAAGAGGATTTGTAGATGAGGAATGTGAAAATTTAGCTAGAGAGGGATTAAGAACATTAGTATTAACATAGAAAATAGTGAATAAATAATTTTATGAGGATTGGAAGATTAGATATGAATAGGCTTAATGTATTGAGAATGGAACATAGAGATAAAATAAATTAAGTAAAATAAGAAAAGAATTAGAAAATCATATGTAATTTTTGGGAATAACAGGAGTTGAAGATAAATTATAAGAAGATGTATGTTCAACTTTAGAAAATATTAGAAATGCAGGTATAAATGTATGGATGTTAACAGGTGATAAAATAGAGACAGCTATATGTATAGCAATATCAAGTGGTATAAAATCAGGAACTTAAGAAATATTTTAATTAAAAGAAATAACCGATGAAGAAACTCTATAACAAAGATTATAATAGTTTGAGACTAGAACTAATTAATTATTAGTAATAGATGGTACTAGTTTAACTACAGCATTTAAAAAAGAAGAATTCTTCTTTCGAATAGCAACTTAAGCTTAATCAGTTGTATGTTGTAGATGTTCACCTACTTAAAAGGCATTAGTCACTGAATGTATTAAAAAATACACTCATAAAATAACTGCATGTATTGGAGATGGAGGTAATGATGTTGGTATGATATAATCAGCTGATGTTGGAATTGGAATTGAAGGTAAAGAAGGTAAATAGGCAGCATTAGCTAGTGATTTCTCTATTCTAAAATTTAAATATCTAAATTAACTTTTGCTTTGGCATGGTAGATTATCTTATAAGAGATCTGCTTTGTTATCTTAATTTGTAACTCATCGAGGATTGATAATTTCTATGATTTAAACTGTATTCATGTGCATATACTTTTATTTGAGTATTAGTATCTTTAGTAGTACATTAATTCTAGGTTATGCAACTATCTATACGTAATACTTTTTATATATATTCAATTTTAGAATGTTCCCTGTATTTAGCATTATATTTGATGAAGATGTTGTAGAAAAGGTAGCACTAGAATTTCCTCCACTTTATAAATCATTACAAAAGAGTAGAGATCTAAATTAAAAGACATTTATGATTTGGTGTTGGAAAGCAACTTATCAAGGTGCTATCATTATGATCTTGGCTTAATTGTTATATAAGAATGTTTTCTTATATATTGAAACAGCGGCATTCACTTCTTTAATCATAACTGAATACTGTATGATTTTTAGTGAAGTAATATAATCATATCTAATCTAGCTAAATTCCTTACATATTGTTATGTTTATTTCTACTATTGGTTCTACTATCTTTTATGTACTTACTATGGTTTTGATTCCAGAAACACTTGTTGTTGCAGAAGTTCTTAATGGAACATTTTGGATGAACACTTTTATTATTTTATTATTTAGTTGGTTACCAATATTTTTATGTTAATGGTTTGTACGAATTAAATAGCCAAACGATTATGAGAAAATTATGAAATAAGTGAAAGGTAAGAAAAAAATAAAAACCAATCTATTCACTTGAATTCGATTTATATATTTATTATAATATATTGACTTTTTATTCAAAAATAATGGTATATCATTCATATTATTCCATTATAGAACAGCAAATTAAGTGGAAAGATTAAAAAGCCTCCAGTTGTTGAAGAAATATAAAGTAACTTCATTAATTTGAATATAGGTAAACCAAGAACAGAAGAATAGATATAAAGTATTGTAAAAAATGTTAGGAATGGAGATGTATCTAATCCAGAAGTTGTCCTATTAGGAGAAGCTGAATTATAAAGAATGAAGGTATTAGTTGTATTTTCTAATTTTCCAGAACAATGCTATCATAACAACCAAAGAGGAATAATTATACTAAAAGAAATTGCTTGAAGAATAAAAAGAGAAGTAGATGGCTGCAGCAAAAGCCAAAAAGTAGAAAATGTTACAAATGGAAGAAGAAAAGAAAAAATAAGTACCTTTATCAACATAATAAGAAGAAGATAAGGTAGTTAAAGATTCACTACTTGCAAGAGTAAAATTATGAATTTTATTATTGGATAGGCAGCAGAAATAATGAATGAATAGATGGATGATGTAAAAGAAATGAATAAAATGGTTATGTATGCAAAATGTGTAACTGTTCGAGATAAGCAATTATAAGAGAAAAAAGAACTTCATGAATAATATAAAACATAAGAGAAACGTAAAGATTTGATGATGGAAATTGAAAGACTTAAATCTATAAAATATCATGAAGAAAAAGATAAATAAAGAAAAGTTGAATAAAAGCATGGTCACGATATTATTATAGAATAAATTAAAGAAAGAGAACTTATAAGATTAAAAGATAAAGAAGAATAAGAAAGAGAAGGATAAGTTATGCTTAAATAAATTAAATAATTGTAATAGGAAGAATAATAGAAGGCTATGCAAAAGAAGATATCTTAATAAAAAGTTTAAGAAGAAATATTAGAAGCTAATGATAGAGCAATTTTGGTTAAAGAGAAAAGAAAGTTAGAAGAAAGAGAAGAGGAAGAAATGATAGTCAAATATAATTTATAGAAAGCATAGAAGGAAGCAGAATTATAGGAAGAATAAAGAAGAATCAAAGAAGAAAAAGAAAGAGAAGTTTAAAGATTAAGAGAAATGCAAGAAAAAGCATAAGATAGATAGGCAGAATTAGATGTATTAAGAGCTAAAAGAGCTATGGAATAAAATGAAAGATAAGCAAGAGAAAAGGAAAGAAGAGAGGCAGAATTGAAAATGAAATTAAATCATGAAGTATAAGAAGCTAGGAAATTATAATAATCAGAAAAATAAGAGAGATTAGAAGAATAAGTATATATATATCTTTAATTAATCTTTTATTAGGCTAGATTAGAAAGAGATGAATTTTAAAGAGTTATATAAAAATAAAAATAAGAAAGAGAGAACGAATTAAAATTACATCATGAAAAGGAAGCATTAATAAAAAAACATGCTGATGAACTTAGAAAATAGATATCTCTTAATGAAGAAAAAAGAAAATAAGAAGAAAGAGACAAGTATATATAATTTATTATATATTTTATAGATTAGAAGAAGGTAAAAAAATAAGAGATAAAATGTTAAATGAAAAGAAATTATTGGAAAATATCAAAGAAACTAAAATAAAGACATTAAATGACAACTTAATACCAGATAAATATAAAGCGGAATTAGCTCGTAAGAAAATTAATATATTAATTTGAACAAATTCATTATTCATCAATTTAAGTGGGTTCTTAAATGTAAGTTTCTTTTAATGCATCAACAACTCTTTCTATTAATTCTCTCCATGTTTATGGTTTTTATGTTTAAAGATGATTTGCTAATTAATTAATTCTCTCTTCTAAATTTTCTATTCTTTAATCTATATAACATTTTTTAGGATCAGCTATTGCTCTGAATTAATGTTCTTCTTCAATTACCTTTGGATAATTCCATAATTCTGGAGGTCTTCTCATTAAAACATATTGATTATCATAATCTTTCTTTCTTAATTCATTAAATAATAAACTTGGATCATTTTATTGTAATTATCTACTTCGAATCCTAATAAAGATTTTAATAATATGTTATATACTTTGGTATCATACCTTCTTTAATGATTTCGTCTTCAATATCTTATTATACTGCTTTATTAATATGCCGAACTCTTTCTACACAATCTTCAAATATTTATCTATTTTCTTAAGTACAATAAAATTCCCATAACCAATATCTTCCATATTTTTCCATCAATGATTATTGTTCTTTTTCTCTAGCTGTTTCTTCTGCCAATTTTTATTCCTCTTCTTTTCTTTTTTATTCCTCTTCTAATTATCTTTTTCTTTCTGGAGAAATATAAACACTTTATTAAGCATTAGCCAAATTTTCATCTGATGTACTTTATAATTATGAATATTAAAGTTAAGTTTATTTAAAAAACTCTGATTATTCTTATTATTTCTACTACTTTAAATCATCTTCTTTTTTTCTATCTCGCCAAGCTCTCATATATAATATTGTGTGATAGACAATTAATTTTGGAATGCTACCCTTTATACAATTCTCATCTTTCTTTTACAAAAACTCTCTTGCTTAAGGATTTGCATGAAATATTACGCTTAATACTTTATATACAAAATTGATTTAGTCTCTTTTTAATGGAGATCCTAGTAAATGTTCACTTATTAATTCTGCTTTTATGACTTCATTTATATCAATTACAAATTACTATAATCTTATATAAATATACTTGATTATCCATTAAAGGTGCTTTATAATAATTTATTCCTTTTAACATCAAACATAATAAATTCCTTCTCATTTTTTCAAATGCTTCAAGTAATGGTTTCAGATAAAAAGACTCTATTTTATTATCTTACCTAAATTTATACATATAAATATAGCTTACCAATTTTAATAACCTAATTTGTTAAAAATAAGCTTAACATTAGGATTTGCTTTTATTGCTTATGATTCAAGCAAGATTCTTTAACATTCTTATAAACAAATGCAATATTATTCAATATCTGCTTTCATTATAAAATCTCTTATCATCCGATCTCGTTATGTAGTATTTCTCAAATCAAAAAACATTAATTTCTTATTAATTTCTAAGAGTGCTCTCAATGCTGCTGTTACTTACATCAAACGTTCTTCTATAAGTTTATGACTAATCTTAATTAAAATAGGTAATTTTTTAGAAAACTCATTTAATAAAGTTTATAAGTTTTTTCTTTCTGCTTAATAATTTTCTGCACTCATCTCTAAAAATTTATGATCCTCCAATGCTAAAATAATATAAATTTCTTTAAATTACTTCTGTATATTTTTGCAAAAGCTTATTTTACATGGTTTCCACGATCTTTATCTAACTTTTCTACAGAACAATATATCCCATCTATATATTGTTTTATTATTTATTTATTTATTTCAATGTCTTCTTAAGCAAAGAATGCACTTCTAATATGAATATGATCAATGTATTTAAATTTGGGTTTGCACTTAAATACTTAGCATAATTCAAACAATTTATTGTGATATATCTTTATATACATGAATTTTACTTGCCAATTTCCAGTTAAATCTTTGGTTGTTTCAGAAATATTAGTGTCAAGTGATTTCGAGATTATTTTAAGTTCATTCCAAACTCTAAACTCATCACTCTCTTTCCATTTCTCAAATTGTTCCTATATTTTACTACTTAAATAAATACCTATTATAATTGAGGATCAATTTATTTAGGCTTTTTAGGAGGCATTAAATATATATTATAAAATATTATTATATTTTTTATAAANTGCTTTTATGACTTCATTTATATCAATTACAAATTACTATAATCTTATATAAATATACTTGATTATCCATTAAAGGTGCTTTATAATAATTTATTCCTTTTAACATCAAACATAATAAATTCCTTCTCATTTTTTCAAATGCTTCAAGTAATGGTTTCAGATAAAAAGACTCTATTTTATTATCTTACCTAAATTTATACATATAAATATAGCTTACCAATTTTAATAACCTAATTTGTTAAAAATAAGCTTAACATTAGGATTTGCTTTTATTGCTTATGATTCAAGCAAGATTCTTTAACATTCTTATAAACAAATGCAATATTATTCAATATCTGCTTTCATTATAAAATCTCTTATCATCCGATCTCGTTATGTAGTATTTCTCAAATCAAAAAACATTAATTTCTTATTAATTTCTAAGAGTGCTCTCAATGCTGCTGTTACTTACATCAAACGTTCTTCTATAAGTTTATGACTAATCTTAATTAAAATAGGTAATTTTTTAGAAAACTCATTTAATAAAGTTTATAAGTTTTTTCTTTCTGCTTAATAATTTTCTGCACTCATCTCTAAAAATTTATGATCCTCCAATGCTAAAATAATATAAATTTCTTTAAATTACTTCTGTATATTTTTGCAAAAGCTTATTTTACATGGTTTCCACGATCTTTATCTAACTTTTCTACAGAACAATATATCCCATCTATATATTGTTTTATTATTTATTTATTTATTTCAATGTCTTCTTAAGCAAAGAATGCACTTCTAATATGAATATGATCAATGTATTTAAATTTGGGTTTGCACTTAAATACTTAGCATAATTCAAACAATTTATTGTGATATATCTTTATATACATGAATTTTACTTGCCAATTTCCAGTTAAATCTTTGGTTGTTTCAGAAATATTAGTGTCAAGTGATTTCGAGATTATTTTAAGTTCATTCCAAACTCTAAACTCATCACTCTCTTTCCATTTCTCAAATTGTTCCTATATTTTACTACTTAAATAAATACCTATTATAATTGAGGATCAATTTATTTAGGCTTTTTAGGAGGCATTAAATATATATTATAAAATATTATTATATTTTTTATAAAGCAAACAAGAAGTTTATTGAAAATTTACAATATGTATAACTTTAAATTTTTTTTTGCTTAATAAATAAAAGAAAATTATCTTAAATGATTTATTCTATAAAATATTTTTTGAACAAAGCATCATTTAAAGAATATATAAAAAAATCACTCTTTTTTATAAAGTTTAGGTAAATAGAACAGGAAAATGAAAAATTTTCTAAACTTAAAGAATAAGTTTCTCACATAAGGGATTGATAAAGATTTTATTAAAACATATATAAATACATTAGATTGTTAAAGCCAATTTGTTGAAATAGGAAATGATTAATCAAGTGAAAAGACTCTGAAATATTAGTAGAAGAAAACTCCAAATTAATATCATTTATCTTAAAAGTACTCAAATGAAATACTGAATATTTATAATAATTTTCATCTCAATTACTTTAACTTTTCTTCTATCATTGTCTATGTTGATAAAGCTTAAAAATGTAGATTAGAGTCTAAAGTTTCAATCATCTATTTATTTTTCAGACTCATGCTAAAATTTATTTAAGAATTAATACTTTAATAGTTCTATTCTCTTTTTTGGTAATTCATTCTTTACATAAATTAATAAATCTGTGCTAAATTAAACCAATTCTTCTCTAAATGTATTTAAAGTCTATGATATTTATTTATGTGCTTTTTCTAAAATAGTTTTCAATTCACCTTAAGCCTTCTTTTATAAAGTAAATAACTTTGATTTTATTTCAGTTGATTGTTTTATAAGTACTATCAAAATAGGGAAAGTATGTTTATAAATGCGATTTAATATTCTAATTAAATTAGTTGGAATATCTTCATTATTTAATATCTTTTAAATGATATTCTTTATATCTTAAAATTTTGAAAGATCTACTAAATAATCATTTGTTGGAATATCATTTTAAGGTTTAAATATAGCTATGTAAAATCTTCCAATTGAAAGTCGAAGTTCCCTTTCATGATTAATCAACCTAAAGATATATCAATTTATAAAAATTACTCCTTGTAATCAATTAAATATTTAACTGGTAAAGGCTAATTTGCTAATTGGTTTCTGTAATTTAGTTCAATCTCATTGTAATTTTATTGGATATTAACAATTTCTTTATAAACATTCAGAACGTTTTATAATTCTTAAATATCATTTTTTAATTCTGAAATTCCATTATTATACTATATAGAATAAAATTTTATTTACAGCTAAAAATAAAGTTTCTAAAAGTAATTATTTTTAACTTTAATAAATTCCAATATAATTATCATATTTTAATAAATTATTATTAAATTCTCTAATGAAATAGCTCTAAAAGTGAGTTTCTTAAATTGAAAAAGTTGAAGGAGTTTATAGTTTATTTTTTATCTGCTAACAAAAATATTCTGTATTATAATTTTATTTTTATTTTTCATTGAATAGATTGCATTAGACAAAATAATAAATTAATTTTATATAAGAATTAGATATCCAATTTTCAAATTGATAAAAAGATTCAAAGGGTACATAATTCTTCATTTTGAACGATGTCATTAAATTTTTTTTAGATTCTCTTATATTTTCTAAATAAAACATTAAGGCTTATTAATTCTTTTTTTCTACCGAATCTAAATTATTTCCAAATTCAAGGAATGTTTTTGCATAAGTCATTCCTAAAGTTTCAAATTATACTCCTTTTATATCTAGTCTTGTTAATGATTCAATAGCTTATTCTAATAATCCTAATTCGCATAATATAATTATTTATCTAAATAAGAAATCAAAATTATATGGAGAGTTCTTCAATCCTAAATCAATTAATTCTAAACTCTTTATCATTTTTTAAAAATCGTTGACATCATAAAGAATGTCAATAGCAATCATTAAATATTCATCTTATAATAATCTATCTCCTTTTTCTACTTTTTCTGGAACATAATGTGATTAATATAATTAAATTAATTCATCAAGATATTTTGTTGGTTCTTGTGAAATATAAATCTCTAACTTTTTTAAATTAATATGAGCAACAGTTTATGCTTCTTTTGATTGAGATTATGTTTTTACTTTTTGTATAATATTATATATTTCTTGATGCAGTTTCAATTTAGGAATGGCTTTAAATAATTCTGTGCAAAATGTATACTTATCACCTTAAGATTAAAATAATAATTCAACTAATCTTAATGTTTCTTCAACACTTGAATTTTAAGATAAGTTTAATATTTTTAATGAAATAAGTAAAAGCTATTTTTATGCCAAACCATTTTTTATTTATGTTAATAATAATTAACAACTATTGTAAATATGACTTAAAAGTTTATCTTTTGGAACTATTTAAAAAGGTGTTTCTATTTATTCAATTTCTAATTAAAATGCTTCAGTGTAAAATGCTAAGACAAGTTATTCTTAACATTCAAAATTAATTAATATTTAATCTGTTGCTAAAGAATTATAAACTTTATAATGGTATTTCAAAGTTTATTCATATGTAAAATCTAAATTTAAATTTAATGATACCTGTTGGATTATTCTAATAAATCCAAAGAGAGATTGCTGCATTCTATTAATATTCAACAAATAATGGAGCATGACTGTCTAGAATTTATTAAACTTTTTCCACATTTTTGTTTGTATTGTGTTAGTAATATTTCATTTTAAATTTAATTAATTAAGCTCCTAATTCATCACCCTCCAAATTACTAAATAATTTAAAGCCAATACTTCTCTGATGAAATATTTTATGTAATTTTGTTTAGAAACATTTCTACAATTTTCCCTCCCATGTCGTCTTTTTAACTTAGCAACACTATATATTCCATTAAAGTTTCTTAATTTTTTTCTTTTTCTTGTTTGTAAATTTTTATAGCAATCTATGATGCATCCTAAAATAGAAGAGCTTATATTAAATGAGAATAAAGCTCTTTATTCTACTCTAGAGTTTAGGGTTTGAATTTTTTAAAATAAATATTCATTAAGTTTAGATCCTTACATAGACCAGAATACTATTAAATAATTTCTAGTTCAGCATCATTTAAATTTTCATTTGATATTTTTGAAGCTTCTCCTAAAGCTCCAATCTAAACTAAGATTAACGCTTTTAATAATTGGAGTTTTTTTTTTTCCATTTGGTTAAATTTGGGCTTTTTTATTTACCTATCTATTTCAATCAAAGCACTCTATGTTTCTCCTCTTTTCATTTACCCAATTATATTTTCTTAAATCAATTAAAAAGATGATTATGGCTGCATCACTAATAAAGATTAATTTTTTATTTAAATTTATTTTTTTTATTTTCAAATAAGAGAAAAATTGGATTAACAACTAAAACATAATAACTTTTAAAATTCTACATCTCAAAAAGCTATGCAAGAATTATACTTTTTAAAAATTTTAATTATCACTTTTGAATCTCAATTTTTATTTAGTAACTTGATTTTAATAAATTTTAATAACTATTATATTCAATACCATTTTTTCATATAATAAATTATTTTATAGCAAATTTGCTTCCATATATTTTAAATAAAACGATGAATCAGAACTGATTATGTGTATTTTTTTATTTTCTATTGATTTTAATTATTTTAGTTTAATTTTTTATAAATTCATGGATTAATAATAGCAAGATTAAGTCCAATATACTACTTATGAAAATTTGTAAGATTAAGAAATATAAAAAATTGATCCAAATGATTGGAAATAACAGTTTTTATTTATAGACAGCTTAAGAGCTTAAAACAAATTTCACAGTGATTAATTTAAAATTTAAGAATGGTGGGATTAACTTTAACCCTTAACAGATAGCATTAGAAGTAATGTGTCTAAAAATGCATTGATGTTGATTAAGGAAACAAGTATGACTAATTAAATATCAAGTTTAACATCATAATGTTTATGATGAAAAAATTTTGCATAAATTATTTGAAAAATGTGAAAGTGATTTTAAGTTTTTAAAAAATGAAGCTTTATAAACAGTTGAAATTTTATCACAAAAACCATACTCAAATGATCTCATTTAGATCTTATGTAATATCACATTATAATCTAATTATGTATAAAATAAATTATAATATAGAAATTACAAACTCATTCTTATCCTACTTTAGTGAAAATTGTATTGGCTTCAGATTTTAATTGTGATTGGGATAATATAATTTAAACTACTGTAGCAGTTTATAATGGAAAAAGTGTTGAATGTAAGAAAGCAAGCGATTAATTATATTTGGCACTATAAAAATAGAAGCCAGACGTATTAGAAAAAGAGGAATAATTAAAATTAATAGGAGAGAGAACCAAATAAAAAGGTCCTTCAAAAGGATTTAAGGAGTTTTTATAATAATAAAAGAAATGATTTAAAATTTATTTATTTTAAAAAATGAAAGGCTTATTTATTCCAAATAAGTAATAATTAATAAATTAAATTAATGAAAAGTACTAATATTTGAAATGAATCTCCTAAGTTTATTCTATGTTTAAATTCATTGGTAAACTTTTTATTTTGTTGTAATTTTTTCTTTTCCAAAAGTTCCATAATTTATGTAACTTTGTGGAAAAGAAAATATTTAAATAATTTAAATAAAAAGCTTCTAAAAATTCATTTAAATTATGATTTGATGAAAATTTTATAATTTTTTTTGAAGATTCTTTTGAAATAATAATGTATCATATTTAGTTAACTTATTAAAATTTATAATAAATCACTTTGAGAGTAATATGTAAAAATTTAATTTCTCTAAGACACATTAAAATATTATATTCTAATTTATTATGTTGATGTAGCATTATATTAAGAGGAGCATATATTAATTTGCAGAATATTTTTACTTAGATAATTAATAAATTTGCTCTATTAATTTTTTAAAGAAAAAAATTGCCTTCTTATTTTAATGTGAGAATTATTTTATTAATTTGACTTATGTCTTGATGAAAATTAATATATTAGAAATAATTAAAGTAATTCTTTAAAAACATCATTTAGCATGAAGTGAAGTGTGAATAAGTTTAAAAAATATTCTGCTAAATTTCTGATTATTTTTTGAATCATGTTTGCGCTTAAAAGTAAAATGAAAAGTTTCTGAATCTCAATATGAAAGTATAATCCATCATTAATAATAAAAATACTAATTAAAGCAAGTCTAATATTAACATAATGGATTAGATCTATTTCATTTTGGTGAAGGAGTCTTTAGAGAATGATAGTATGGTAGTTAGGTTTATGGTTAATAACCAAGAGGTATTACCAAAATTAGAGTTTAAATTGACGAAAAATTATTCAGAGCAATATTCATAAGTCCTATTTGAACATCTATAGAATCACATTCCTAAAGAGTGTCACTATTTATATTTTGTAAGTTATTGATAAACTATTAAATTAAATTAGAATGAACCTTTGGAATGCATGAAAAAATAGAGATTCAATTTAATTGCTCAGTTAAGCGTAGATGTTATACTAAAAATATTAAACATAAAATATATACCGATAATAAGAACAAATTATTCTCGGTACACACTTGACGATGTAATTTGTAGAAATATTCAACTTAGGCTATTCAAGAGGGAAGTAAATCAGTAATAGAGAAAATGAATTAGAGTTGGTAAACATAATGCAAATTCAAATCTAAGATTAAAAAAGACTTTTTATCAACATTAAATGATTTCAAATATTGCTACCGTATAGAGATTTTAATGACATCAACATTATAATAAATAAAATAAGAAAAATATTCAGAGTATGATGTACTTTACGTACCGACAGATGAGTTAATATTCTTAAAAACCAACAAAAAATAATAACTATCGCTGTCATTTAATAATTTAGAAGAAATAAATAAATGTAATTAGTTAATATGAGTTTATATATTATATTAAAGACAACATATCAAAAATATGTATGCAAAAAATTTTCAATATAAATTCAATAATTAAATCAAAACATATTTGCAAATGGCTTAATAAACTCCAAAAAATAATAATTCTAACAAGTTTAATTCTAAATTACAATTGCCTTCCAATTAAAAATAAGTTGTTAATTCATCTCAAACTCTCGATAATGATGTAATATCAAGTAAAAAGAAAGTATAATATTATTAATAAATTTAGGAGGTGTATGATAGATTAATGAGTTCTTAAACAAATAGAGATAATCAAACAGAAGTATCTCAATACTTTGATCATTTGGGAGGTAAAAATTGAATAAATAAAAACATAAAGGCAAATGTCTATGTGCATTATGTAACTGTGGTAGACATAAATGTAATGGTAAAAATTGTATACACAAACCCTAATTACATGGGAATTATACAATTTATTAAAAGGAGTATCAGAAAAAGACCCCAGAAACTGGATCTCGATATAATTAGAATATATTCACTTAACCAAAAACAGAAGGGGATATAGGAAATGTAACAACTTATAAAGTATATATAAATATCCTAATAAATTAGCATGATTTTCCTGGATATAATAGTAAAGCTGAATTGCATAAAAGTTCTTAGAAGCCAACTGTAAGTGGAGTCCCTTTTTCGGGATTGTCAACTTATAACAATATGTACTTAAATTGGGGAATGGGTGATACACCTTAACTTTTACCATAAAACAATCCTACTGTTATTAAAGAAATGCCTTTTATGGGAAAAAGTATCTATAAAGACAGTTACTAAGGAGTATAAGCTCCTCCAGTATAGAGTTGTAAAAATATGAACAAAGCCATGAAGTATATTATTTATTAATTTAGATCCCCATTATCTCCACCAGATTTATAATTCTCAGCAGAATCAATAGCTAAGTCGTCGTATAAACCATTTAGAACTGATAAAGTACCAACATCTAAGAACTAATAAAATGTATTATATTTATATAAATTATTAGCCAAACTTAAATCCTTCATATAATGGATAATATAATAGTGAATATCGCAAAGAATTTGATTCAAAAAGTTTAAATTAATGTCCAGCTAAGGAAGTATTGGAAGAAGTTGCTCGTAACACAGAATTTTGAAAATTATAATGATTTTGATTAAAGATAATAAATAAAATTAAAATTTTGACATATTATTATTATTATTATCGAACTTTATATATGAGTGGAAGAGATTTTCATTTTTATAGAAGAAGGAATAAATATCCTAGACAAGAATCTTATAACGAGTAGTAATCAACACCAAATTTCGTTGAAGATGGTTCTTTCGTAGGAACTTTAGAAAGAAAAATTCAATATTAAAATAATACAATAAATAATCTTATATAAGCTTTTGAAGATACAAGATTGGAATAACAAAGACAGATTCAATATATAGAAAGATTAAAGTAAGCAGAAGAACAGAAATATAGTATCTAAATTTTAGAAGAACTAAAGACATTAAAATAGAAGATTAAAAAAATTGAATAAAGCCCACCTATTTAATAATCTTCCCCTTAAATGTATCAATAACCTTTTCTTCCTCCTTTGCCGAGTTAATTTTAATAAGGTTATATTCCTTAATAATATAATTATTCTTAAATTCCTTACTTATAGAATCCATTTCATCAATAAAGCCAACCTATTCAACCTTAATTTTAAAATAATTAGTAATAATTAAGACCGAAAAGACCTAAAGAAATGGATACTTTACATAAATTTTTATTAAGAATGCTTCATGAAAAAGACCTATAAAAAAATAAAGAAAAAAAACCTTAAGAAAATTAAGAAGTACGTTATGTGACTGATATAGAATCTTCTTAAAATTACTCTTCTAAAAGATAAACTCTTTAATCACCCTTAATAAAATCAAGATAGAAAAGGAGATCATAGAAACAAAAAGGTAGTATTTAATCTGGGCCATCTGAAAATTCATAAACAATCATTAGAAAACAATCTTAATTATCTTAATAATTATCATTATTAGGTTCAGGCTCATAAAAACCATCATAAAAAAAGTTAGTAATAACTCAGTAAAGATTGAAAATATTAATGAGAAAATTTAGAGGAGCAGTAAGATATTTTTGGGTAGCATTAACATATTTAAAATTTTGTAAAAAAATTTGGAATTCTAAATTGATCTCTTTTAAAGAATATTCTTAAGAATAGATTGGATAATATGATACTTAATTTGTAATAATAATACAATTATCATTTATAGAACTATTTGTTAATTATTTCTTAATTTTATAGAGAATGTACATTAAAGAAATAATTAGATAAATCATGGATATTTACTTAAACTTTAGATATATAAGCTAGATGCTAGACTATGCTTAGTGTATTGGAGATATTTTTTAGATATTTAATAGTTTAACCATTAGATTTCACTAAAGAACATCTTGAATTTATGCGTAAATTTTCACTTCCAAAAGGATATCTTTTAATTGGGCATAGCAAATATGTAACAAGTAGAATCAATTTAAGACCAAATAATACATTAAAGTAAGTTTAAATTAGAATATTTAGTATTGAAACACCTGAATAATCATAAATGTTACTTATGGAGTATTCATTTATTTAAATATTATTGCCATAAATAGTTGAGGCTGATTTCTGGAAAAAACTAGTAAACTATAAAGAAGCCTTAAAAGTTTTTGTATCAGTGCTTCATTTTTTATTTATTGATAGATTTTACAATTTACCACTTAGTAAATAATAATTACCTTTTAATGTACATTTATAAAATACTATTTAAGAAAGAATATGTTCCTTTATTTGATTTCACAAGAAATCCAGTTGAAGGATTTTATATATTAATTGATTCTAATCATCCATCATATGTTGAATCAAAGGAAGAAGTGATTTTAGGATTGCATTCAAAGGCTCAGTTGCAACCTTTAATTTTACATGTTGGATTTAAGAAGGTCCAAGAAAATTTCAAATAATATTGTGATTTAATTTATTCTTTAATAAAATGAAATACTTTAACAAAAGCAAATTAAAAATATTGATTTTTTATTATAGTACGTTTTATATTACAATCTTTAATTATCATTTCTGTATGAAAATCAGTAAGTTTAAGAAATTATAAACCTCTACTTAAATGATAGAGGTATCATTTTTACAAATAAATCCTTTGATATCGATATAAATTTATCATTATAAAGTTTATGGATTAAGACTTTGTTATTAAAATAATGTTAATCTGGTAAATGATATTTCATTAATCAAAATTTTTTTTTAATTCACTATAGAATATATTGGTGTCTGTATGAGATTCAGATATTTATTGGGTAGTTTTTTTTTCTTTCAAATTAACGATGCATGCTTAATTGAGTAATGAAACGATAATGTCTATTAATAACTGTAAATATTCGATGAATGGTGCTTCAATACTTGGTTTTTAATGTTTTACATCCATTTTAAATTCAGACACAAGCACTCTTTTGCGAATTTAAAAATGGTTTGGATTCCACCATATTTCTTACTTTGATTTCAAGGTTTTCATTGCTAGATATGATTCAATCAAGATCTATGTTAATAACAATTTTACTTTAACGACACAAAGTTCAAGTATTGGATAGGCAACGTTCATAAAATTTTGTTGAAATGGTATATAGTATTAATTAATTAGAATTCTTAAGAATTTATGAATAGAATTATGGGCATTACTTCTATCAGTTTCAAAGAGTAGATTCTATTTATTCTGGGTCATCTGGGAATCTACCATTTAATAAAGATTAAAGATTGAGTTTTTAAATTGAATAGAAATGGATTCTAAGTTCTTTCTAGTTTGTTCTTTCTCTAAGATTATTAAAATCTCTTAAGTGTTGTAAATTTTGATTTTAGTTTTAGTACCAGTAGAGCACAATTACCCCATATAATTAAATAATAAAAAAAAATAATCAAAATTTAAATATTCATCTAAAATATGAAACGTTAGAGTCGAAATTAGAAAACAAAAACTATGTATTTCTCCTATATAAAATTATTAAAACTAGACTTCTATAATTTTTTTTAATAAATTATTTATAATTCAGTATAAAAAATTTTGAGAGTAGAAATTAAATATTTAAGAATCTTATTTAACAATTTAAACTCAATCAATATAAATTTAATTTGGTGATAATAACAACTTTGCAAGTTTAGTCTAATCCACACAAACAGGCCAAACCTAAAATTTCATAAAGATACTAACCTAATTTATCAGTATTCCAATCTAAAGAAGATATTGGTTATTAACAAACATCCTATTTATTAAGTAATTCTAATTTTCCTATAACTCCTTTACGTTTTCCTTCTGCATCCTATATTTGTCTTTAAGATGGATATGAATATTTATAAATGTTTAAAGCACCATCTCCTCCTTAAGTTGCAAATAAATCTCTGTTCTATGGTAAATGTTTAACTCCCCAAATAGTTGATTTTTATCCTTCATGCGTTAATGATGCATATCCATTATTGAAAGTTCTAAGATCAAAAACATTAATTTTGCCTTAGAAAAAATATATAAAAATACTTTCAAGAGTTGTAGCAATAAGTTTATTCATTTAAATATCTTTTCTATCAAATTCAACACCACAAATTCCATTTTTTACATTTGTATCCCATATCAATTAATTTTATTTCAAGTCAAAAAGTTTAATATCACCATTATCATATCCACAAGCAATTACACGTTCATCATTATAAGAATTACCAAATGCAACACTCCATGCATCTGGTATAACATCTTTTTCAACTGGTTCTAAAGATACAACAGGTGCTGCTTATCTTGGATCCCAAACTCTTACACATCCATCTCTTGAACCAGTTACAATTTCAGGAGCACCTATATTGTAACAAGTATCGATAGAATTTATAATTTAATCATGTGCTTTTACTTCAAATGTTATCTAATATTTATATTTATAATATACTTTTCTAGTTTCTAGATCCATTACTTTTAATTTACCATCAAAATCACCAAATGCAAATAAATTATCCAAATATTATCCACATTTTATGCCCTTGGGTTATTCTATCTAATGATAAAATTATTTATAACTGATGATAAGGTTTTCAGTTCTGTTTTATTTAATTATAATATTTCAATTATTCCATTTGCTTTAGGTGGTTGTCCACATAATACAAATTTTGCAGTTCCTGGTATCCATCTTGTTACAAAGGGAGTGAAGTTTAATGATTTATTCAAATGTTCTATAATTTAAGGAGCATTTGTTGTGTCCATTATTTATTTATTAATAATTTAATTATCATTTTAATATATGCAAAATTAATTATAAAATTTTGTGTTTTTCATTATATTTCCCTTAATCTCTTTATCATTGATGAGTGCAATGAACTATCAAGGTACTTATTTATATGATTTAATAATCTTATTTTTTTAACATAGCCACAACTCTCTGATGACTCCATTGAAACTGATGTTGATACTTCTGTAGGTTCCCAAACTTATTTTACATAATCTAATTCATTTTTATCCCCTTCACTTAATAATTCTTAAATTATTTATTCATCAAAATGTTTAGAAGCAAGTTTTAAGCATACAGCTTCAGAATTCATTAAATTTTTATGTATTAATATAAATTTTTATTTACTTTCAGTTCTAAATATATGTTATCAAAATGAATCTATACTCATATTCAACGTTAATTATAACATATACAATAAAGTGATATATTTAAATCAAAAATCATTAAAATTTACTTAATTATTCAACTCATAATATTCAAATTTCATTAAATTTTCTAGATTATTTATTAGTTGTGGTAGATAAATTGCAAAATTTTTTGTTTTTATGTATAATAAAATTTACAATCATTTAGACATTATATTAAACAAAATTAAATCAAATTCATTTTATTCAGTTATTCTATTTTTTAAAAAAGGCAATGAATTTTCTATTATGTTTTATTGGTTTTTAAAAACTTAAGAAGCTTTTTGATTTTCTTTCCCTAACTGTTTAGTCTGTTAAGATTTCATTCATTTCTGTACTTATTTATGTACAAAGTCTAGTTGAAATATTTAATAGAATCCCCTATGTAGCAATTAATTTGCTTTCTAATTCGCATAATTGATTTTTAAAAAAGATGATTTATTCAGATTTATTAATTAAATCCTAATCTTGATTCTAAATTGTTTAAACTTGTTTCTCGTAAAGGTCTTTATATGTTATAATTTATTAGTTCATTAAAGGAGTATGAAGCCTTTATTAATTATCAAATAACTTAAATTAATTTCAAATAAATTGTATATTTTTCTCGAGGTATTTATTATACAAATTTAATTAAACTAAATAAACTGCAATAATAAAATGAATTGAATAATCTTTGTTGAAATTTCGAAAAGGTAATAAATTATAAAATAATTATATTATAATGTCATATATAAGATATCAATGTATACCTTTGAAATGATACAAATCTCTTAAAAGAACAAAAACTTTCTGAAATTCACTTGTAAGGCTTTAATATGGGACATTTAACTTAATTAAATAAAACAAAAAATATTTCAGCATAATAAATCGAATTTAAAATTTAGACCATATTCCCTATTTAAATACTATATTTGCTAATATAGAATAAGTTTAGCATTTACAAAAACTAAAAAGTTCTTTTAAGAGAAAATAATTTAGATGAAAATTTTGAAATTCAGTTAATTTAACTCGAAATTTTAGATGGATCAAATAATTATCTAGAATAAACTACCAAATAAATTATCCAATTAATTGCCTTTGACCATTTTTGCTAATTCTTATGAAAATGATAACAGGAGATATAAAAAGTGATAAATCTTAGATGAACTAATTATTTTTAAATAATTTGCAAATGAATACATAATAAAATTTCAAGAATTGATATCAGCACAGAAAGTTTAAATTATTATAGATTTTTTGAATAAATTAATGTACGAAGTATTAACAAATAAATTTTATATTTTGAAATTGAAAGTTTTATAAAATGATTTAGACTTACGAATAAGATAAAATATAGAAGAATGATTTCATTTATAGAATTTACTTAGATTAAATTATAGAATTAGAGTTATTCGATAACTAAATTTTGAAAAACAAAGAAAAATGATACTAAATAACTTTAAGCTATCCTATTATAGTGAAAAAAGTATCAATTTAAGCTGTCAAAACTAATTAAGAAAGAAAATTCTATAAATATTATAAGATGAGAAAAATAAAATTAAACAATAATTTTTTATAACTAACAATTTTGATCACAATTCTGGATATTGATAGAAAAGACCAGAGAAAATTAATAAATTAAAAGTTGAGTCTTTTATTTAAAGTAATTAAATTACAATCTTTTGAAACAAGAAAAAGTAATCTTTACATTCAAACCTTAAACTCCTGCAAATGCATTTCTTTTTTCAAACTCAACCAATCATCTACTATTATTAGGAGATATTCCAACTTTAGTTAATATTTTATAATAATTATATTATGGCAACTGCAAATGTCTAAAATAAATAACTTAATTAGGATGTACCATATTTTTCCCAATCAGTCTTTATATTATATAGTCTTATACTCAAAACTTTTAGTTATCTCAATGTAAATCCATTAAATCAACATCTAATTTAATATATTAAAATATAAACATCTTAATTATGAATATGAATTTTTAAATTTTCTGTCGAATCATATGGATCAATACTATAATTACCCATAAATGTACAACTTGGTTTAACCTTGCATACATATCCAACCCATACTTAAATAAGATTTACAATCAAATTAATTTAAATATTTGCATATATGATTATAGTGATAGCAACAAATTGAATATTTCTTCCTTTCATGGATTATTCGATGAAAATATTATTTAAATATTTATATTTTTATTTATGTAGCTTAGTTGATGTTTTTATTATAAATATTTATAATCATGTAAATAATTTCTTTTATATGAACTAATTAATTATGGCCATTAAGAAACCTTTTAATATCTAATTTGTAAAAAAAGATAAAATAACTAATTTATAAAGCTTATAAAAATAGAAAGCAAAATTACACTATATTAAATTTTTATGAATTATATTAAGTGTTATAAAATGAATTTTATTTTATTTATGCTAAAGGAAAACATATTTAAATTTTGTCTTCTAATTGTTTTTGAAAAGATTTTATAATTATTAGTTCTTTTTCTTAAAGATAATTAAAGATTATTTTAATACTCCTGCTTAATAAAATTTGAAGTGAAAAATCTAATTATAAAAGAATAATAAAACATTTAAGGATTTTTAAAAGTGAAATGAACAGATAGCACTAGTTTTAAGTATGTTAAATATAAGAGGGAGATATATTAATTAATAGAAAAAAGATTATTATTAATAAAACGATGACGGTATCGTAAAAATTAATTGAGTTTATAATATTTTAATTTAGATTAATTTTAAATCAATATAGAATTAATTATATTATTAAGAGTTAACAATGACGTAAAAGTTTATAATTTAATGACTTCAAATTAAGTAATTTAAAAGCATAAATCAAATTGTTTGAAGATAATAATAAATAATGTCGAAAACAATATTAGCATTGGGAACAATAGCATTAATTGGAGCTCTTTTGATGGCTAATTAATCTGAATCAGTGGATTATGTTTCAAAGTTTGATACATTTAAGTAGAGATTTGGAAAGAGATATGGAATAGCAGAAGAAGCATATAGATTAGGAGTATACACTCAAAATCTATTATATGCTGAAGCTTACAATTTATAAAAGGGATAGAAAGTATTTGGAGAGACTATCTTTTTTGATTTAACTTAAGAGGAATTTGCATAGACATATTTAACAGCTAAAGTGACTGAGGAAGATTTGAATGTTGAAAGAGTATCTGCTAGATCAAACAATCTTAAAGCTTCAATAGATTGGAGTTCTCAAGGTGCTGTAACTCCAGTTAAAGATCAAGGATAATGTGGTTCATGTTGGACATTCAGTACTACAGGTGTTTTAGAAAGTTTCTTTTATCTTACAACAGGTGAATTACCAGTTCTTTCAGAATAGTAATTATTAGATTGTTCAACAATTGTTGATTTTAACTTGGGTTGTGATGGAGGTTTACCTGCAAGAGCTTTAAATTATGTAAAAAGAAATGGTATTACTACTGGTGCTGCATATCCATATGTATATAATGTTTATAATTTAGACTGCTGCTTAAGGATCATGTAAAATCAAAGGGGGTGCTTATCATATTAAAGGTTCTTAAACTTTAGCTAAAGATGAATAAACATTAGTAACTTATTTAAATAACGGACCTGTTTCAGTAGGAGTAGATGCAACCAACTGGTAATATTATGATCCAAAGGTTTAAAGAGTATTTAGTGATTGTGATACTAAAATGAATCATGTAGTTTTGGCAGTTGGATATGATCAATAAGCATTCAAAATTAAGAATTCTTGGTCAACTGCTTGGGGAGTCAATGGTTATATCTTTTTGGCTAGAGGATAAAATACTTGTGGTATCTATGATACAAATGTCGTTCCTATTTGATCAATCAAATTATATTTTATAAGATCATTCAAATTTACAATAGTATTATTTTTATGAATAAATTCGTTGCATAATTTAACAAAATTCAAATGAAAACTAACTTTGAAGTTTTTCTAATAATTTGTTATAAAAAATTATAATTTAATTTGATGAGTGGATCCCCTAAACTTAGAAAACTTAACATTGGGCCTTTGGTTAAAATAAAGAAGCAAATCAACTTACCTAAAATAAGAAAATAAGAGGAATCATTTTAGGCTATTTTAAATGTTTCTGATTTTGATCTATCATCTGAACGAGATAGATCCTTTAATAATCGATCATTAAGGAAATTAGTTCATACAACCAATTTAAACCTTTCAACAGAAAAAAAAATATCAGAAGAATATGCTATATATGGATTATCAAAACTTAAAATTGAAAGAATATAACAACCTTTTTAAAGTGAAAGAACAATTAAACATTAATATTATTTTAAATAAGACGAATATACTAATAAATAATGGTTTGAACTATGTTTAAAATAACCACCTCCTCATGCTTTAGGATAATTTTATAAATAATCTGAAAAGTAAATTTTAATTTACCTTTAGATAATATTAATGGTGTGATGTATAAATTTTAGATTATAATCAAGAGACAGAGAAATTTTTAATTCAATAATATCCAAAAGGCCCTAAAAAACAAGCTGATAGATTATAAATTAAATTCAATAATTAAAACTAATAGTTTTTTGAATCCATGATTCAATAAGAGTATCAAATTATTTAGTAAATAGATAACTTTATTAACATGAAAAATAATCTGAATTAGCTTATGTTAGTAGGATCATGGCTGTTGATTCTAAATTAGTTAATTAAATCTCTGATCAATTAAAATAGAAACTTTAAATTAGATTTTCAAAGTATAAGAATTAAAATTTAATTAATAACTTAATTACATAGGTTGAAGATATGTATTAATAAAACATGAAGAAATGTGTTTATTTAAAAGATTTAACTAAATATAAATAAAAATTTGTTCCAATTCCCAGAATGAAAGTATTTTATACATCACAATCATAATTAAAGAAAAATCTTATGTTTGTGAATAAGGCTGTCATAGATTGTTGGTTATAAATGATAAAATTTATGAATAATTTCAAAGTCAATTTATTTGAATTTGATAAAGTTCTTTTACCAGTCACATGGGATAAATTTGAATAGCTAATTGATTCGAATATGAATAGAATTGAATAACAACTAAAAAAATAAAGATTCTTTATTTACGCATAAATTTAAGAAAATTTATAGAATACATTTAATTTCTTCAATATAACTATGCCTGAATATGTTGCAAGTGATTTGAAAAGTGTTGTGAAAAGGTTTGATTTACATTATACTGAATATCTTTATAAACTATTAAGAGATGAATAATAGAAGATAATTAGATTTTATTAAAAGTTTCAATTAATTTAATAGAATATAAAATTAGTTGCCACTTCTTTGTTTTAATTAAAAATTGTTGGAATGAATAAATAGAAACTTGAAAAGTTTGAATAATCCAGAAATTCTATCAATGATGATTTAGAATTAATCACTTTGGATATTCCCATAAATGCCGTTATCAATATTGCAACATATCCAAATAGATGTTTGTTCAACATAATTTCTTAATTAAATAAAATTGAGAGTGAAATAGTTCCATTATTGAAGATTCCTTAGCAGTATTCAATAGAAAGGGAAAATTTGGCTTTTTTTGAAGTAACCAAATAAGAAACAGCAGATTTGATAGAGAAAGAATATTCTAAATGTTAATAATTTTGCAAGAAATTTTTACCATATTAATATTTATTGATGCCAATGAAAACTAAAGCAATTAATAAAATTTTTGGAATCGAAGGAAAAGAGAAACCTTCTTTAAACTAGATTAGACTCTCTATTATTCGAGAAGCATTAGATAATTTAAGCAAAGCATAAAGAGAAATAAATTATAACTTCATAGATAATCAAATAATTGGACTTTTTACATTAAATTCTAAAGAAATAAAATAAATTTTAATATAGAGAGCGCAAGAAAATTATTAAATGATTGTGTAAAAATTAATCGAAATAATTAAGCACAATGTGACCAACATAAAAACATATTACTAAGAAATGTATGCTAAAACTTCAACAGTTCCTTAAACAGAAGAAGATTTGATTGAATTGAAGCTGTTTTTAGATGAAATAAAGATTTAGTTTTCAAAATAGTATTTAGAGATTACATAAATGTAAATATGATCTTAATTAGTTATTAGTAAGAAATTTATTAATTATCTGGATGAAATATTTTAAGAGTACGATTAACTATTAATGAAAGAATATTATTACCTATTATAATGGCCAAAAGAAATTAAAAAAAGCATAAAAACAAATAGTAGATAAATAGAATCTATTGAGAGATAATTCTTTTAAAAATTAGAGCATGATAAGGAAGAATTTACAGAAAAATTATTTTCAATGAAAGAACAATTTACAAAGATAAAAGGATTTAATTAATTTGGTATTGTGAAACAATAAGCAAATGAAATGAAAATATTGGCTGATTGGATATTTTAAGGTTAAGAATAAATAAACTCATTTAATTAGAGGGAAACTATGTTTTAAATACCTTTATCACAATATCGAGAATTTAATTAACTTATGACAGATTTCAAACCTTTTTAGTATTTATGGGAGTTAGCAAATGAATATGAATTTTAAAAGGAATCCTGGCTTTATGGTTCATTTAAAAATTTGAATCATTAACAAATCCTCTAAAAATTGACATATTATGTAAATGAAACAATGATATTATCAAATACATTTAAAGAAATTAGTGATGAAAATGGATAATCTGTAACAAGAGGTTTTAGAAGGGCTTTAGATGCATTTAAAGATAATTTATGGGTTGTTGAAACACTTGCAATAGAAGCATTTACTAAAAAGCCAGTATTATGGAGAGAACTTTTTAAGGAATGTAGGATTTAAAACTTTGATCCAAAAGAAGATTTTTCTTTATAATCACTAATTTAGAGAGGAATTTTGAATGTTAAAGAATAAGTAGTATAATTATCATAAAAAGTTGAGAAGGGTTGGAATATTGAAAAAAGACTTAATGAAATGTATGATAAGTTAGTAATAATTGAAATAGAATTGCAAGAATTTAGAGAAACATTTATTTAGAAAAATTATGAGGAAGTATAAACTCTATTGGATGAATAATTAAATGTATTATCTATGTTAAAGAGCTAACAACATATAAAAATGGTATTAGGTAAAGCAAATTAATTAGAATATAAAATTGTATTGATTTAGGATACATTAGAATTGGGAATGAAATGTTAAAAACATTGGATGTATTTGGATCCAATATTTGCAAGTGAAGATATAAAGAGAAAATTAGTGGAGGAAACTGAATATTTTAAGATGGTTGATTAATCATATAGATAATAGATGGGAATATTGAATAAGAATAAAATTTTATGGGATTCGATAGATAATGAGAAAATTAAGCAAGAGTTTTAAAATAATGTTTAATTGTTGGATTCGATATAGAAATCCTTATCAAAATACTTAGAATAGAAAAGAACTTTATTTCCAAGATTTTATTTTGTTTCAGATGAAGAATTAATAGAAATTTTAGCATTGGTGAAAGATCCAAGATTGTTATAAAAACATATTTTCAAATGTTTTGAAGGAATGCATGAATTGAAATTTGAAGGAAATCATACATTATTGGGAATGATGTCTTCATAATAAGAGTTGGTTATATTTGATAATAGGATAGAATTATTTAAAGGAGAGAAATAAGGAAACGTAGAATAATGGTTATGTGAATTATAGAGAGTAATGAATTTAACATTAAGAACTTAATTAAACAAAACATTATAAGATTTGAATTCGTAAAAATAGGATTATATAAGTAAATGGCCCACATAATGTATATTATTAGCTGATCATATAAAGTGGACAAGAAATACAGAAATAGCCATAAGGGAATTATAAAAAATGAATTTACATATTCATTTAGATATTCTAACTAAATAATTGTAGGAGACAGTATAATTAGTAAGGAATGAGGAAAGATTAGTAATGAAAACTACTTTGGAAGCAATGGTGGTAATGGAAGTACATTGTAAGGATATAGTTTAATAATTGATTCATTAAGATGTAAAAAGTATTTATGATTTTGCATGGGTTTCATAATTAAGATATTATTTTGAAGATGAGGGAGTAAATGTAAGAATGGTAAATGCATAGATTTAATATGGATTCGAATACTTAGGTAAAGTAACCAGATTAGTAATAACATCATTAACAGATCGATGTTAAAGAACATTATTAAGTGCTATGCATTTAAATTATGGGGGAGCTCCTGAAGGTCCAGCCGGAACTGGTAAATCTGAAACTGTCAAAGATTTAGCCAAAGCAGTTGCTATGCCATGCATTGTTTTTAATTGTTCAGATGGATTAAATTATATAGCGATGGGTAAATTAATTACATTAATATTAAAAAGGTAAATTTTTCAAGGGTCTTTCATCATCTGGAGCTTGGTGTTGTTTTGATGAATTCAATAGAATTGATCCAGAAGTTTTATCAGTAGTTGCTTAATAGATATTTACTATTTAGAAAGCAATTAAAGAAAAAAGAAACAGATTTACTTTTGAAGGTGAGGAAATTAATCTAATCCCTACTTGCGCTATTAATGTAACTATGAATCCTGGTTATGCTGGTCGATCAGAATTACCTGATAATTTAAAAATACTCTTTCGACCTTGTGCCATGATGGTACCTGATTATGCCATGATAGCTGAAATCTATTTATATAGCATAGGTTTTGAAAAAGCTAGAGAATTAAGTCCCAAAATTGTTACATGCTTAAAATTATGCAATGAATAATTATCTCCTTAAGAACATTATGATTTTGGAATGAGAGTACTCAAAGCTGTATTAAGTACAGCTAAATAATTGAATATTGGAACTGAAGAAGTCATTTGTTTAACAGCTTTAATAAATGTTAATAAACCTAAGTTTACTTTGAGTGATATCTAATTATTCTTAGCAATCACTTAAGATTTATTTCCTAGTGTTAATCCATTATCTTAAACTTCTCAAATTTTAATTGATTCATGCTTTGAAAGCAATTATTAACCAGATATCGATTTTTAAGAAAAATGTCAGCAATTAAATAATACTATATCTGTGAGAAATGGTGTTATGTGTATTGGAAAAACTTTCTCTGGTAAAACAGCAGCCATTTCAACTCTAGGTAAATCATTAAATGCTTAAACGCTAAAATTAAATCCAAAAGCTGTTACCACTGATTAATTATATGGTAAACTTGATCCAGATACTAAATAATGGTCAGATGGAATCTTACCTATATTAATAAGAGATAACTTAACTAGGCCAACGAAAATTTGGATTTGGTTTGATGGACCTGTAGATTCATTATGGATAGAAAATTTAAACACAGTTTTGGATGACAATAAAAAATTGTGTTTGACTTCAGGTGAAATCTTAAAGATACCATAAACAATGTGTATGCTATTTGAAGTTGAAGATTTATCTGCTGCCTCACCAGCTACAATATCCAGATGTGGTATGGTTTATTTTCTCTAAATTGACTGGTAAATATTGATGTTATTATTAAAGGTATTTACAAGTTTAAAGTATTTAATTACCAGGTGATTTAGATAAATAATATTTTATTAGAAGAATGAGATTGTAATTATTACTAGTTATAAATTTAGTCTCTTAGATCACTCATATTCTTGGGCCAAAGAGTATGTGTAATTTCCTGTCTATGATACTATCAATCTTATGGTTTAGAGTTTTGTCTCATTATTGGTTTAGCTATTAAAATCTCTCTCTTTAAATTAATAAAATAATAATAATTGGGATAGTTGTTTAATATTTGCTCTAGTCTGGTCGATTGGAGGATGTTTAGAAGAAAAAGGAAGATCTTTATTCAATGATTTTTTACATAAACTTTTTAGAACTAATAAAAGTGGATTTAAAACTAAGTTTGGAGATGATCTAGAATTAAAATTATACTTTCCAGAAAAAATTGAATTCTTTTCTTGTGTATTTTAGGATGGTTAATGGATAAAATGGACTGATGTATTTATGATTTAATTTTTAGTTAACTGAAAAATTTGAAGTATAACCTGGTATGCAATTTCATGAAATTATTATACCTACTGCTGAATTAATGAGGAATGATTATTTTTGTAAAATGGGATTGCATTTTCTATTTTGTGGTCCAACAAGTACAGGAAAATCATTATCTATGAATAAATTCTCTAAATTTTAAATTACTTGTTCAGGATAAACAACAAGTAATAGTCTATAAAGATTGATTGAAACTAAAATAAATAAGAGGAGAAGGAAAGGATACTATGGAGCTGAAGAAGGACATATTATTATATTTGTAGATGATCTTAATATGCCATTTAGAGAACCCTAAGGTGCTCAACCAGCTATTGAGTTATTGAGATAATGGATGGATTAAGGAGGATGGTATGATCTTGAAAATAAAGAATTTAAATATATGTGTGATATTACATTTCTAAGTGCTATGTAACCAGCAAGTGGAGGAAGGGATTAAGTGAGTAAGCGATATCTTAGATATTTTAATCTATTGTATATTGGTGGTTTTGATAATCAAAGCATTTCAAACATTTTATTAGTCTTTGTTGATTGGGTTTTCCTAAAGATTTAACCATCATAAGATATTTTAAAATTAAGAAATGATCTTGTTTATCATACAATTTAAGTTTATGATAAAATTTAATTGAGCTTGTTACCGACTCCTGCTAAAAGCTTATATATTTACAATTTAAGAGATTTAATTAAGGTTTTTGAGGGAATGAGTAAAGTGACAAGAATAAATAATTAATACAATTTAGTTAAGCTCTGGACTCATGAGTGTTTGAGAGTATTTAGTGATAGATTGATAGATAGTTATGATTTGAAGATTTTTGAGAATGTTCTTAAAGAATCAACTACTTAAATAGGTTATTAAATTTAAGATTACAAAAACTTAATTTATGTATCTTTCTTACTTAATGTTTATGATGATGCAGGTAATGTGTTAAATGTAAAATAAAAATTATAGCAAGTTCTTGAAGAGTACAATTAAATGAATCAACAACATACTTTAAGTCTGATTTTATTTAATAATGCAGTTTTGCATATTTCAAGAATAGCTAGAATATTATTAGCTGTTTAAGGTCATGCTTTATTGGTTGGAATGGGAGGAACAGGAAGAAGTAATTATTATTATCATATTAAGCATCCCTTTCAAAATTAGCTAACTATATAATTTTCAATGAACATGTGTAAATGGTTGATCCAAGATAATGGGATGATTAACTTTTAGGTATTCTAAAACATATAGGTTTGGATGATCATAAATCTACAATTATTTTTAACGATTCTTAATTTTAAACAGAATCTATGTTAGAAGATGTATGCAATATAATGAGTCATGGAGAAATACCACATTTGTTTCCTCCTGAAGAAAGAATTAAAATATAAGAAGAAATGACATATCCTAAATTTGTCTTAAATTGTAAATTAAATACTCATGTAATTTTATGTATGTAACCTGTTGGAACTTAATTTAGAAAGAGATTAAGGATGTTTCCAACTATTATTAATTGTTCTACTATTGATTGGTTTATGAGTTGGCCTGATGAAGCATTAGAATCTACTGCCAGTTAATTTTTACCTTAAAATTTAGTAAAAATAGCAGTTGATATTCATCACAAAGTTTTAGAAATCAAAGAAAGATTTACTCAAGAACTTAGAAGACATTTTTATGTCACACCAACCTAATATTTACAATTATTAGCAACTTTCAAAAAAATTCATACTGAAAAAAATGAAAATTCAAGAATTTCTATAGATAAATTTGAAACTGGGGTTGAGAAAATTATTTAAACTGAAAAGGAAGTAGATAAAATAAGAAAAGTTTTATTTGAATTACAACCAAAATTAGAAAAAGCAACTGTTGAAAATCTTGAATTACTTAAGAATATATAAAAAAAATAAAAAGAAGCAGATTAAACCAGATTAATTTGTGAATATGATGAATAATAATGTAGTTTAAAAAGAGAAGAAGCTAATTAATTAAAAGATATATGTTAAAAGTAATTAGATAATGTACTTCCGTTATTATCAAAAGCAACTGAGGCACTGGAAAAAATAACAAAAGATGATATGATATTATTAAAATCGTTCCAAAAACCTCCTCCTTCAGCAGCAGTAGTTATGCAAGGATTATGTTATGCATTTTAAGAGGATGAAAAAGTTAAAGGTAAAAATAATGGAAAAGAACCAGCACAAATGGAAGATTTTTGGGAATATTCAAAAAAATATGTTTTAAATGATAAATTGATAAAAAGAATAAAAAAAATGAAAATAGAAGAGATTAGAGCAATAAATCCTACTAAAATATAAAAATTATCTGTTTTTATTTAAAATCCATTATTTGAAAGAGATAAAGTATTTAATGCTTCAATGGCTGCAGGAAATCTAGCTGATTGGATTAGAGCAGTTTATTCTACTTATGAAGCTGTTGAAATTATTGAACCAAAAAAAGCTTAACTAGTTGAAGCTGAAAAAAATCTTAAATTAGCTGAAGAATAAGTTGAAATAAAAAGATAAGCATTAGCAGAAGCTATGCTTGTTTTAAATGTATTATCTGTAGAATACTAAAAAGCTAGAAAAGAAAAAGAAGAAATTGAAAAAAAGGTTTCATAAATTTAAGCATAATTAAATAGAGCAGAAAAATTGACAAATGGATTAGGAGAAGAAAAATAAAGATGGAAAAAGAAAGTTATTGCTTACAAATCAGAATAATCAAATGCTGATGGGGATTGTTTAATTAGTGCTGCTATTATATCTTATTTAGGTGTATTTCCAATTTAATACAGAGAATAATGTCTATAATTTTGGAAATTAAAACTTAAATAAAATTAAGTAAACTTTTCTGATGATTATACATTATAAGTATAATTATGTGATCCAATCTAAATAAATAAATGGATATAATAAAAATTACCTAATGATTCTTTTTCTATAGATAACGCTATTATATTAAAACAATCTACAAGATGGCCACTTATGATTGATCCTTAATTATAAGCTAATGAATGGATTAAAAATATGGAAGATATTAAAGTATTATTAATTCTGAATTCAACATAACCACCATAATAAGTTTAATTATAATTAGAACATGCTATTTAAATTGGATATCCTGTATTACTTGAAAATCTAGGATAAAGTATTGATCCTCTTTATGAACCAATTCTATAATAAAAAATTATAAGAAAGTAAAATAAATGTTCAATCAAATTTGGAGAAAAATTAATTGAATATTCAAATGATTTTAGATTTTATATGACTACTAAACTTAATAATCCTCATTTTTAACCATAAGTCTGTGTTATGGTAAATATGTTAATGTTTCAAGTTACATAAGAAGGACTTGTTGATTAACTTTTAAATATTGTTGTTAAAATAGATGAACCATAAAAGGAAGAATAAAGAATTAAAAATATACAATCTAATTTTATTAATAAAAATAAACTTATTTAAACAGAAACTTTAATTTTAAAATTGCTTTCTGAATCATAAGGAGAATTGTTAGAAAATGAAGATCTTATTTAAACACTTTAAAAATCAAAAGATGAAAGCCTTTCCATTGAAGAAAAATTAAAAGGACTTGAATATGATAGAGTTAATTTCAATCAAATACGATAATTTTATAAACCTGCTGCTGAAAAAGTAGCAAGTTTATATTTTATTTTAAATGATCTTGCAGTGATAGAACATACATATTTATGGTCACTTGACTTCTATTTCTCACTTTACACAAAGTCAATTAGAGAGGCGTAATATGAAAAATCTAAACGAAACTAAAATATTATTGAAAAATTTATTTTGACACTTTATACATAAATTAATAGATCCTTATTGGAAAAAGATAAATTAATTTTTAGATTTTTATTGTGTGTGAAAATGATGAATGTTCCAACAGATCTTATTAGAACAACTGTGATGGGTTGTACTCTTGCATCAACGGATATTTAAATGCCAAAAGGATTTACTTGGTTAACTAATAAAATGTGGTTAGAACTTGTAGATTTAACTATTCAGTTTCCATAAATATTTGAAAGTATTTGCTCTGAATTTGTTGAATAAAAACATTTTTGGGATAGTTTCTATGTTAGTTAAACATCTTATAAAATGTAATATAGAGATTTAGATTAGTATTAGATAAATATGCTAATTAAGATTATTAAACCTGAATAATTTATTTAAGCCACTAATGAAATGATAAGAAAATAAATTGGAAATGCTTTTTTAGAGAATATTCCAACAACCTTTGAATAATTTTATTTAAAATCAGATTGTAAAATTCCTTTATTATGCTTGATTACTCCAGGAGCAGACCCTAGATAAGAAATTATTAAATTGGCATCTAAGTATGATTGTGAAGATAAATTTAATTAAATTTCTTTAGGACAAGGTCAAAGTTAGTTGGCAATAAAAATGATACTTAGTGCTATGTCTTAAGGTTCTTGGGTATTACTATAGAACTGTCATTTAGCATCCTCTTTTATGCCAGATTTAGAATAATTATTTGAGACTCAATATAAGAAAGAAATAAATGCTGATTTCAGGTTATGGTTAACTTCTTAACCTACTTCAATATTACCACATAATGTTATATTAAAATGTATATTTATGATAAAATAATTTTAGCTTTAAAAATTACATATGAATTACCAAGAGGATTAAAAAATAATATGTTAAGATCTTATTAAACTTTAGACGCAGATAAATTTGAATAATGTAAGAAACTGAAAGAATGGAAGAATTTATTTTTTTCGCTTTCATTATTGCATGCTTGTTTATTAGAAAGAAAGAAATATGGTCCATTAGGATGGAATATTGGATACAATTTTTCATAACATGATTTGGAGATTTCAAAAGAGCAGATAGTATTTTTTTTAGATTAATATTCTGAAATACCTTGGGATGCTCTTCATTATTTGATTGCAGAAAATAATTATGGAGGTAGAGTAACAGATCCAATGGATAGAAAACTCTTAAAAATTTATGTAGAGGATTTAGTGAATTAAAAGACAATTTCTCAAGACTATATATTTTATGATATTTATTAAATACCACCTTAGATGAATTTAAAAGGTTATAATGATTATATATCTTAATTACCATTAAACGATCCTCCTTAATTATTTGGTTTACATGCAAATGCAGAAATATATTCAGCAATATTAGAGACTGAGAATTTAAGTTCAGTGATTTTATAATTATTGCCTAGAACTTATGGAGATTAAGCTTAAAAACATACTGATAGTTTAGTATGCAAAAAGAGTTCAGAAATTCTGAAAAACTTACCTTAACAATTTAATATTGAATAAATTTAATAATTGTTTCCATTAACATAAGATAATCCTTTAAATGCAGTAATACAATAAGAAATTACAAAATATAATAAACTTTTAGCTAAGATTTAAGATTCTTTAAGTGTACTTGTTTAAGGTTTAGATGGATTTATTAATATTTCTGATTAATCTTTAGAAATATACAATTCTGTATTTGATAATAAAATACCTGAATCATGGTTGGCTTTATCTTATTTAACAACCAAATCTTTAGGTTCATGGATAACTGATTTAAAACAAAGAATCGAATTTCTTAATTTATGGATTACAAAAGGATAACCTATAGTCTTTTGGCTAGGTGGATTATTTTTTATATAAGGTTTCTTAACTGCAATTTTATAATAATATTCAAGAAAATCTAAAATTCCTATTGATCAATTAAGATTTAATTTTAAATTTCATTAAGATGAGCCTACAGAAATTGGATATGAAGTTTATACAAATGGAATATCCATAGATGGAGCATCTTTTGATTTCCAAGATTTAACTTTAGCAGAACCATCAAGTAGTATGTTATTTTATCCGTGTCCTATTATCTAATTTTGCCCAACTTAAGAAATTATCAAAACTCATAAATATTATTCATGTCCACTATATAATACTTCTTAAAGAAAAGGAGTTTTAACATCAAATGGATTATCAGTTAATTTTATATGTAAAATAAAAGTACCAATAAATAACAATAAAGAACATTGGTCTAAAAGAGGAGTAGCGTTAATCGTCTAAGCTAATTGAGGATTATAATTAATTAATTATTCAATCCTGTATTATATAAATAATTTTTAATAAATATATTTCTTTTTATTCTTTTAAATAATAAATAGAATTGTAAATAGATTTCCAAAACAAAATTTAATATTAAAAACACATAATGGCCTGATTATTTTTCAGATTAACATAAGTTTAGCCATGAGAAAAAGGTATATCCTTTGTTAATTTACTTTTACATAATTCCAAGTAATCTTTTTATTATTATTCTAATTTAATCTAAATGGCTTAAATGATGTTTCTTTTTGAGAACCATCACAGAGTGGCTAGTTTCATTTTTATTTAAAATACTTATTTTTAGTTAAATTTTTATTGTACCAAGAAGAGGGAAAGTAGTAAATTAGTCAACTTCTGCTTTCTTATTTTCTTTATTCAATTTTATCACTTTTACTGAGTTCTCTAAATCTTTTAATTAGGCAGAAAATATTTATGTATTAATATAATTTAATTCTTAAAAAAAAATATCAACAAAATTGCTTTATTTTTCATTTTCAAATAAAATAAATATTTCTTTCATATTAATTTTAAATTTCTGAATGAATTTTTTATAAAATTAAACAAATTTATTGCTATTCCTTATTCTAATCTATTAGTGTATCTCATTTAGACTTATCCATTTGATAAAAAGGCAGGCATATATAAATATTTATATCTATGGCTATTAAAAAGTTCATTACGAGTCATATTATTCAATATACATGTTATCTAATCAATAAAATAATATTAATACTTCAACTAAAAATTCAAAATTTAAAATAAAGGATAATGCTACATTTATTAAGAATATAAATGATTATGCTCTACTAAATTAATCTATCAAAAAAAATATATTTGGTATCAATATGACTATAGAGTTGATTTTATCATAGTAATGCAAAAACGTAAATAAAAGATAAAAATCAATCAATATCGTTAATGAAAGAACTAAAAGAAAATAAAATAAATGATTTGTCGAATTTATACATTTCCCTAAAAATTTAGAATGAAAATGATAATCTTTAACCTATATTTTTAACTTAAATAATTTACACACATATTGCAACTAGAACAATGATAAGTTCTAGGCAATTTATATGAGAGACAAGTAAAACAAATTCTATTCCAATCTATTCTTTATATTAATTTAAATCTATTTGTCTCAAATAAAAAATAAACTAAATGAATGATAGTAAAACCATTATACCATAAAGGATCATTTATTTCTAAAAGTGAATCTATTTCTTATTTAAATTAATTTATTTTATTTGCAAATTTAAAATAATAAGAAGGTTTTGTATGCATTTGATCAATTAAATCTTCAACTGCTTTATAATTTAATTTCAAAAAATCCTTCAGACTAACACCTTCTAAAAAAGAGGGTGTTAGATCAATTTGATATAAATTAAATTTATTTTAACTCTCTCTTTAAAATTTTTTTAAGAATTTCTCTTTTTCATTCAATTCCTCTTACTCTTACTCTTATTAATTATTGATTAATTCTTCATTTTCTTCTTCCTCATCATCCTCTTAAATCTAATCATTAGTTGTATGAAATGCCATAGGCATATATTCGTCTGATTATATCAAATTCTTTCCTGTAGACGATTTAAATTGATTAACTTTTTTTTCTTTTTTTTTAGATTCTTATTTTTATTCTTAAACCATTAAATTTACTTATTAAGCTTCACTATTTTCATTATTTACTATTTGTGTTCTTTATTTTAAGACTTTAGTTCCTTATTTCTAATTATCTGTAGATTTCAACATAAACCAAACAACATAAAATATTAAATATAACATACCAATTATAAAACCAATATCAAATATTAAACCTAAAAATCCATCATTTAAAGTCTAAAATAAATAATTTAATTATCATACTTTCTATACTTCACTAATTATAAAAAGAATTAGCTCAAAAAAAATAAACAAAACTAAAATGCTGATTACAATATATTTTTAATGTTTTTTTATTATTTTGATTATTTTTTAATATATTTGATTCTAGGATAACATTTTTTATAATTAAGCTTATTAAATTAAAGATTTCATTTTTTGATTTGAATTTACTACATCAAAATCAATAGCATATTCTACTAGATTTGGATCAACGCTGAGTAATAATTTTACTGCTTCTATAGCACAATTATTAATTGCTTTCGTTAATGGAGTTTATCCTTTATTATCAAATAAATTGTATTCTAATTAAAAAGCATTATAAAATTAAAGCATATTAATATCATTTTCCATTGCAGAATAATGAACAAAAGAGTTTCCATAATTATCTGATAAATTTTTAAATTCTACTTTTGTTAAAATATAAAATATTAAGGCATATTTTTTATTTTTAATGGAATATGATAATGGTGACATATTCTATAAATTAGTGTTATTCAATGAACAACCTTAATCAATTAAATATTTAATAATCTCAATAAAACCAAAATTGCAAGCAATAGCTAATGCATTTTATTTTAATTAAGTTTATAAATCTAAATTAGCACCTCTTTGCTTCAATAATTTTAAACCCTCTAACTATCCTTAAGTTGTTAAATAATGAACAATTCCAAATCCTTATGGACCAAAAGAATCGTAATCAATTAAGCCATCAAAACAATAAATCATATCAAAATTTCCTTATATTATGGTTTCCCATAAATCTATTGAAATTTTCTCTTCCTCTTAATTTTTATGTTCTAAGTCAACTTTCATTTTATCTTCTTACTCAATTTCGTCCTTTTTATTTTCTTGATTATTATCATTTGCTTCATTTTATTCCTCTGATTATTTTTCGTTATTGATTTTAATTATTTCATCCGCCATTAATTTGATAATAAATTTTATTAATTTTAGAATGCAACTAGGAAATAGAGAAAACAAATGAGATTATATCTTTGAAAATTAATCATAATGTTAGAAATGCTATTTTTTGAATTTACTTATCTAAATAATTAATGTTAGTGATTAAATATTTTACTATAACAAAATAATCATCATAAAACATTTTTTATCTTTTTGTTTTAAAAATAAAAAATAGATAAATGTTAGAATTCTTTGTATTCCAAACCAATATTATGTTTAAATTTAATTAAATAATTTATAATAAAATTAGAGAGAAATATTTATAAATTATATGAACAAAAAATTTGGCAAGTATTTTTAAAAAATAAATAAGTACTAATCATTATGATTAAACTATATTTTTTTTTGTTTCAACACCTAAATATTGGAGGTGTAAATCCTACTTTTGCATTTCATACTTAGAATTAATTATAATGTTAATTTTTCTTAACTTTGTTTACTTCTTTTATTAAGTGTGTTGTGTGAAGTATTAAACAATTATTGATATTTAATTTGAAAGCTCAATGATATTAGGTAAGCTTAATGTGATTCTTTTCTTTTCTTATCAAATATTATGTTCTTTTCACTGTTCTTATCTTTTTGCTATATTCTCAAGATTAAGACATGATTGACTTAGTCATTTTACTTTAACTATTAAGTTTGTATGTTTATCATAGATAGTTGATGTAAATCACTATATTTAATTTTATTCAAAAATATATTATCTAAATCATATTTTTTTGATTCCACATTATTTATTTATGTGCTCAATAAAAGTATCAGCTAATTCTTAAGAAATCTGTTTTATTCCAAAGTAATTGGCAAAGTTCTACTCAACTTATTACAAACTTAATTATTTTCTGTTTATTAAATATGTTATTATATATCTTTCAACAATTTTCTTTTTCGAAATTGTTTCTTATTCATATTTTATTTATACTTAAGCATTAAATTTCTATCCATTATAGTTGATTAAACAAATAGCAATAGATTGTGTTTACATAAAATCTTAATAGAAATTATAAGATTTAAGAGCATCTACAATCCAACCTATAGGAAATGCTTGAAATTATTGTATATAATCGATAATCATATCTGAATTAATGCCCAACATTTTCAACCAATTTTTATTTACCTGTCTGTTGCATCCAATAACAATTTAATTATGATCAACAATAAATTCAATAATTTCTTCAGGTATCTCTAATTATTTTGGTGAAAATTATTTTTTTAAATTCTCAAAACCTACTTAAAAGTTAGAAACTTACTCTAAAAATAAATAAAAAGGAAAATTTATTTTTAATTCAAATATTTTATTTTATTGAAAAGGCAAGCAATTAAAGATAAGTTCATTTTTTTATATTTGCATTGCAATTATTTTGAATTAAAAAGAAAAAACATCCTTAAGTAAATACCCAAATGTATGTCCACCTTTTTCGTTTGACTTAGAAACTTCTTCTTACTATTTTTCTTATTGAATCAAAGGCCTTATTAATTCACATATATATTTAGCTTCATTTTTAGGTGTATTAGATTAATTGAATTCTTTGTGAATAGCTTTCTTTTGCTTTTTCATGTTCACTTTCTTGATTTATTTGTTAAGGATGTTGTTAAAAAGAGACAAATCTAATGAAGGATCAATGGAAGAATTCATTAAAATTTAATTTATCATCATCAAAAGTAAAAGGCAATGATTTTTAAACCAGAAAAATTCATAATATTGCATCATTTTAGAATTAAGATTTAGGTTTTTATAATTCAGGTAAAAAGATTAAAAATTTTTGAAAAAAATAAAAATAAATATTCACATGAATGAAGCCTTTAATTAATTAAATTTAGATTATAATTATATGAGAAATTAGTTATTAAAAATTTTTAATCATCTAATTTAATGACCTTAATTATTAGGAACTAGTTTTCTTGGTAATCATACATATTCTTAATTAATTTTTGAAATATGTTTGACCCTATAATTAAATTGAAACAATTAATAAAGTATTAAATGATATCACTAAGAAATTCTTAAATATGAATTAACAGAAATATATATGATAAAAGCTACCCTATAAAAAAAATATTGAATTTTAAACAAAAATGATCAAGAAAAACTTTCTGTGGAACGATTTTAGACTTATTACTTTAATATGATTTCGCTTTCAAATCCTGATTTCTCTTACTTTATTGATTTAAAATTAATATATTTGATTACCTTTCCATAAGAGTCACAGTATATTAATGAAAACTTTTCTCTTTATTTGAATTTTTTTATCTTCTTTTTCTATCTTTTCTAACTCTTAAAAACAAGTTATTAATGTTTTGCATAACTACACATCTTCATGAACTATATCTATTTAAATCAGATATATATACATCTAATGGTATTGGCTATTTAAAATATCATAATCTTAACATTTTGGTTTGTTAATGATTAAAATGGCATCATTAATTTTATCGTTCAAGCTTGCACATTAATCTTGTTTCAATATAACTAGAAATCATCCTTTTTATGCTTTATGTTGGTACATAATCATTTAAGTGTTAGGAAACAATAATCCATGAGAGCTAGCCAAATATTAGATCATAAATTTACTAAGAAAAGGTTATCTATAGAACTTTATTTGTTTGCTTTTTGATAAAGAAAATCCTTAAATACAGATTTTCTAGGTGTTCATTATCCTAAGTTTGCATTTCATTTGTTTAAAAAGAATATAAACAATAATTTTCTCACGTCAGTGAACCTTTCTAAATAACGAATAACAAATTTTGATACCCTCCTTATAACTATTGTTCATTAGTATTAAGAAATTGTGCAACTTATTGTATAAACTTTACATATATATACTTTCTTTATACAAATATAATGTATCACAACTTTTAAACAACAATATTGGATTCATAATAATATAATATGATGATGTTATATAGAAAACTTAGAAAATTCATTTATTTTACTGAGCATCTGTTTTCTTATTTAAGAATCTGCTCTCTATTTCTGGATTGCATAAAAAATGTCAATATCCTGGGAAACAAAATAAAAATTTTGTTAAATATATATTTTAATTAAATGATTGTAAAGTTTAAATATATTATATTGAAATTTTATTTTTCATATATATTAGCTAAGAATAATTTTATTAAATTTAATATAATAAAAAGATACATATAAAACAATAACTAATGATCTAGGTAAAGAAAATTAGATCGGCAAGTGATATAAAATTTAAAATGCATTTAATTTTTTCAAGATCTAGATCTCAAATATGGAATAGAATTTGGCTAATCATCTGAATAGTCAACATCTACTATTGAATGAGATCTTTTATAATCTGGTTCTGAAACTTAAAGATTAAGACTAAGTTTTTAATTAAAAATTTAGTCTAGTTTAGTTTGATCTTTATTTAAAGTGTAGAATAATTCTTTAATGTCTTCATCTAAGATTTCAAGAATATTTTTATCTATTTAATTTAATTCTTTTTTCTTTTTTAATTTTGCAAAAGACATAAAAGCCTCTTAAAGCTTTAAAATATCTGATTTTTCATCTTGTAATATGAATTAATAAGCTTTTTTTGATTCAATTTCTTTAACTTTTTTTTCTGCATCATTTCCAAATAAGGCAGAAGGAATCACAGGTTTTGGTAAATAATTAAACAATTATAATTGATCTTCATTTAATAAGACAAGTTTTAATTTGTCTATTTCATAAATTTTAGATATTATGTAAGCAACATCCAATTTTGACATAAATTTATCGGTTGCATATTAAATTTGCATTTATTCTTATTTCTTGCATCCTAAACTCATAACAATCATATCTCTTAAAGTTAAATTTAAAGACTATTTTTTAGACTTTAGAAATTAACTCATAGTTTTAGAGTCTTAGATTTTTTCAAAATTTTTTGACTTGAGAGATTTGCCTAAAGATTTTGAGAATGAAGATTTTTTGATGTCAAAATCTAATACTCTTTAAGATGATTATTATTTAGGCGATTAAACAATGAAATTATTTTAAATTGGTTGATCATCATCAAAACAATCAACGGCGTTCTCAAATCTAAATAGTTTATTAGCCATTTATAAGTTCATAAATTTTTATATTAAAGGTCTTAGAACACTGCTAAACGTTAAAAATAAAACTTAATAAAGTCCTCCTATTGTACTTAAGATGGCTTAAATCTTAGCATATGATCTAGAATATTCAGCATGTCGTTAATCGAGAGTAATATAATGAAGAATCAAGAACTCATCATTATATTCTTCTTGCGACTCACGGTTAGTATATTAAATTAAACTAGAAGATTCAGACTTATCATCAGTTATAAGTCCATCATCGGTTATAACATTGGTCACTTTTAAATTTTGAATAATTGTTTTTGAATTAGCTATTGACATAGTTGTATACTAAAGTGAAATATACTCTGAAAACGGATACCCTTGTTGCTTCATTTGTAAAAGATTATCTGACAAATGAACCACATAATATCCTGTTTTCAGTTCTTTTTAAATGCTTTCTTTAGGGGCACATAGATTATATGAACTAGAATTCTTACATTCCTAAATCATTATTGTAATATAATGATAAGTTTTACCAGCAATTTGACCTTATAAAATCTAGGATTTATTTTAAATAAATTTACTGGAGGCGAATTATACCATAATTCTGAATTAAGACATTAAACATTGCCTAAATTGATAGATTAAAAATATTGTTTTTAAACTTCCGTAACAAAATGTTTATCACTGCATGCTTCTGTAGGGTATTCAGTACAACTTAGAGAATAAAATGAAAAAAGATACTTCTGTTGTATTTTCGTTTTCCCTGTAAGCTCATCAATTACTCTTAACCTAAGACAATTTTTTACTGTCATAGTAAAATGTGTATTTAATGTTGTTAGTGAGTTTAAACTAATATTAGCAACGGAAATAGCCATCGTAAAGTTATTCATTAATAAAGGAACAGCCTTTTATAATTAAATTGCCTTACAGCAGTATCGGTCATTTAATACTCTGAAAATACAACAATCGGGTTTTTTCGATCATATAATTATTTGATTTAATAAATTAAATATAGTATACATATAGTAATGATAGCTGATGAGCAAAAGAAGCCAGTTGAAGTAGTGAATTTATTTTTTTTCAATATTCTCAATACAGGAGGTTGTCCAAACACATCTAAACCGCTCAAAAATCCCTATAAGCTATTTTTAAACATATGTGAATTCTTTTTTTTGTATTTTAACATATTTCTTTTTTTTGGTATTATTTAAAAGCAATTATTTATTTTAACATAAATTCTTTTGTTTAATGGATTTTACAAAGAGTCAAGCTAAAGATAAAAATAGTCCTTCTTAAAATGAGGATGATTCTTATGTTAAAGAGATGAAATGTATATTAAAATAATATAAATATTAGCTAGATTATTAATTAAAAAGCATAAGGGGGCAATTGGTGAAGAAAATCTTGGCAAATTTTATATTGATGATGAATAAGATACTGATAGATAAATAAGGTTTAGATTAGAGTTTTCAATCAATTTTTGGGTGATTAAATAATCCTAATTAAATTTAGAGTGCCATGCTTTTAGCAGCATTTGTTTCAAGATCTATTTATCCATTTAGCGTTAGATTTGTAAAGAATAAATTGAAACTTGAGGGTTTTCTCAATATTCATATGGTTTTTCCTTCCAAGTTATATTTAGGCTATTTTACCTTTTATTTTTCTTACAAATGGTGTAGTTCTTGGAGTATATGAAGGTTTATGGGCTAAATATTGGTTTGAATAGGAAATAGAATAGATAAGAAAATAACATGTAAGATTATGATAAGAATGATTATTGATTTATATTCTTTATAAATTTGATCTAAATAATTTAATATAATTAAGAAAAAAAATCTAATAATGTTCACGAAGATTAATTTAATAAGTATATAAGACTTAATTAATTTAAAATATTATTTATTTATACAATAATTATAGAATAAGATTTAAATAACAATTAGAATTATGATAAAGATTTATAATTGTGTATTCTTTACTACAAATTTAATTTGAATGAATTATATATAATTATTGATTTAATTATTAAAATACTTGAGTCAATAAATCATGAGAGTCTGTATTATACATTAATTTAAATATAAATTTTCTGAATAATTATGAAAATAGAGGAGGAGGGAATATCACTTAAAGGAACTGTGTTAGATCCATTAATTGAAAAGTAGGAAATAAAATAAAGGGAAATAATACTAAATTAGATGATTTCAAAAAGAAAAGCGTGCAATGAAATCAATAATAGCAAATACTCTATATTTACATTTTTCCCTTTAGTATTGTTTTATTAATTTTAACATTTCTTTAACTTATACTTTTTGGGATTAACTATTACTTAATTCATACCTGCTTTAAAAGTAGGTAAATATTATGTTAAATTTCTTAGGATTTATAATAAATTATGTAGGTCCATTATCTATAGTTTTATGTCTATCAATGTGCAAAGAAGCTTATGATGATATTTTGAGACACTCAAGAGACAGATAAATAAATAAATAGTTATATTAGATTTTAACAATAGAGGGTTTAATGAACAAGAAATCAGGAAATTTATAAGTAGGATAAATTGTTTAGGTAAATAAAGATGAGAGAATACCAGCAGACTTATTAATATTGAAGACAGATGATAAAGATGGAAATGCATTTATTAGAACTGATTAATTAGATGGAGAGACAGATTGGAAATTAAGAAAATCATTAAAGTTGACTTAAAATATGGATGAAAATTAATTAACATAAGCATCTGGAGTGATATAATTTGAATAACCTCATTAAAATATAAATGTATTTAAGGGATTATTGTAAATAAATGAAATTGATGGAAATTAATTACGAGAATCTACTAGTATTGAAAATATAATTTGGGCAAATAGTGTTTTGGCTGTAGGATAAATATATGGTATTGTGATATACAATGGTCAAGAATCAAAAATGATGATGAATCAAAAGAAATCCTAAACAAAGAAAGGAATTTTTGATATTGAAGTTGACAGACTGAGTAAATTATCATTTTTCATTATGATTATTTTGGCAGCTATAATTACATTATTTAGCAGTCCTCCAAGAGATTTTACATATGTAATATAAATGTATATGAGATATTTGATCTTAGTTAGCAATATAATTCCAGTAAAATCTTAATAAATTTTATAGATTTCAATGAGAGTAAATTTAGAGTTTGCTAAAATCGTTTATTCAATCAGAATTAATAGAGATCCAAATATAGATGGTACAATATCTAGAAATTCAAATATACCTGAATCATTAGGTAGAATTTCGTATTTATTAAGCGATAAAACTGGTAATTTTAATTAATAATGAATGAGGCACTCTTACTTAAAATGATATGGTTTTTAAAAGATTTTCATTGGAGAATGAAAAATATACTCTTGAACAAGATGATTTATAAAAAGTTAAATAAATTCTTTATGATTAATTTAAAAATCCTTCTAAAAAGAATGGAAAAATGAGAGAATTTTTTACATGCTTAAGTGTTTGTCATAGTGTTACACCAGTTGATGATGAATATGGTAATCGTACTTATTAAGCTTAATCTCCTGATGAAATTGCTCTAATTAAATTTGCAGCATAACAAGGATTTTATATATCTTAAAGAAATGATAAAGAAATCATTATTCATATCGATTAAAATGAATTAAAAATAAAAGAAAGATATTAAATATTAAATTGTTTTCCATTCTCAAGTGAAAATAAGAGAATGGGCATAGTTTTAAAGAATAATTAAAATTAGATTCATTTTTATGTTAAAGGAGCAGATGTTGTTCTAAAATAATTGTTACCAGAATAATATTAAAATTATATAGATGAAGAGACTGAAAATCTAGCTAGAGTTGGATTGAGAACACTTGTTTTGGCTCATAGAATATTAACATAAAAAGAATATGATGAATGGAATAAATAATATATTAAAGCTACTTAATTAATTGATAATAGAGAGTCAAAAATATAAAATATGATAGAATAATTGGAAAGATAATTAGAATTTTTAGGTATAACTGGAGTAGAAGATAAGTTATAGGATGTAATTATTAATATTAGACAAGGATGTGTCTCATACAATTGAAAATTTGAAGAATGCAGGAATAAATGTTTGGATGTTAACAGGTGATAAAATGGAGACAGCTATTTGTGTAGCCATTTTATCTGGATTAAAACATTAAAGCCAAAATTTTATAAAAATGAAAGATGTTATAGATGAAGTATTTAAATTTTATTATCTAGATATAAATGTCTCTAGTTTTATAAAATTTAGAAGCAAATTCTAATAATGTATTAATAATTGATGGAATAAGTTTATAAGAAGCTTTAAATGGATTTGAAGAGAAATTTATGAAGGCAGCAATGAATTGTCCATCAGTAATTTGTTGTAGATGTTCTCCTACATAAAAAGCTATAATTACAGAACTTTTAAAAAAATATTCAGGACTTGTAGTGGCTGCTGTAGGAGATGGAGGAAATGATGTAGGAATGATTTAATCTAGTGATGTTGGAATAGGTATTGAAGGTAAAGAAGGTAAACAAGCAGCCTTAGCATCTGATTTTTCAATTTTAAGATTTAGTTCTTTAAATCTGTTATTACTTTGGCATGGAAGACTATCTTATAAAAGAAGTTCTTTATTATCTCAATTTATTATTCATCGAGGCCTTTTAATTGCTACTGTACAAACTATTTTCATGTTTTTATTTTACTTTCTATCTATTAGTTTATTCTCAGGATTTTTAATGTTTGGATATTCTACAATATTCACGTAATTATTTCTATTATCTTTTAGAATGTTTCCTGTATTCTGTATCATTTATGATGAAGATGTTAAATAAGATCTTGCTTTACGATTTCCACCTCTCTATAAATCTATTCAATAAGGAAGGCTACTTAATACTAAAACTTTTCTTATATGGCTATGGAAAGCTGTATTTCAAGGCTTTATCATTATGATTTGTTCCATTCTATTAATCAAACAGGCTTTTCTAAGATTAGAAACTACTGTCTTTACTTGTTTGATTTTTACTCAATATGCTATGACACTTACAGAAGTACTATTTATTCTAATTTTATAGTTAGAATCTTTGCATATTTTTATGATTCTAGCAAATTTATTATCTGTGTTGATTTACCTTATGACTTTGTTATTATTTCCATAACAACTATTAGTATAAGATACAATTGATGTCCCCTTTTTCGGATGGGTCTTCTTAATTTTATTAATGAGTTGGTTGCCTTTGTATGTTTTAAGGAGAATCTAAAAATTAGTAGATCCCTCTGATCATGAAAAGCTCATGGATTAAGTTTAAAGAGAAACCATTAATACCAATTGAATTATCAAATGATTTATTTTTATTAAGCTTTTTCTTGTTACCAATTAATTGTTATTCTCATTATAAATAATATAATATACATATAAATTATGTCAACTGTTAATAATTTAATGAAATACCGAAATCTAAATTAGTATTCAAATGTATTGCCTAAGAAGAATTGTTATAGATTTATATTAATTTGAGGAAGTTCATTATGATTTATAAAGCAAATATTAAAGAAATAAAATTAAAAAATGAAAGAGGAAATCTCTTTAATTAAATAATAATATTAAAGATATATTCATTACTATATAAGTATGAATAAAAATAGAATAAATTATTTCGATCAGCCTCTATCAAAACTGATTTAGATTCAAAATATAATTATCCTCTTGATGATTAAAATAATGATTCAGTTTAGTCATATAAAAATTAAATTGCAAGATTAAATAAAATTGTTATTATGAGAGAATATTATAGATAAAAACCTTTAAGTTTGAATTATGCCAATATAAAACTAGAGAATTCTATGAAGAGTACAGCTTATTAAAAACTAATTTTAGTTCTCAAGCAAAAAGTATAAATCTTTTAACATAAACATACTTGAATATGTTGATAATTGAAATATCAAATTTATATAATGACATTTTCTCCAAAAAAGTCATCAAGTAATTATTAAGATCTTAATTATTTTTTACCAAATTTATCAATAATATTTATTTTTGCCTTTAAGACCTAAAATTAATATTAAATTTAGCTAAAAAAAACAGTATAAAATTTAGTATTATCCAAAACTAATTAAAGAAAATATTTATTGGTCAAAAATTAAATTTATAAATAAATGAAGTCTAATTTACTTATTGTATTAGTATATATTTATATAATATTATATTGAATTAATAATGTATTCATTTTTTAAATACATTTGTGGATTTAATAAGTTATGATTGACTTTCTTCTTGTTTAATGTTGGATACAAATAAACCATCTGATTATTTAAATGGATCAAGAAAGTCCGAATTATTTAATTAAAATGAATTAAATAAATTGAGGTTTGGTTAATTAGATTAAAATGGCAATATAAATTAAGCTGAAAATTGAAGTTATTGATTTTATTGAAGATTAATTGGTTAAATTTATTAATCTTACTAGATCTCTAATTATTATTATTCTTCTTTATTTTAAAGTTTATCAATTTTTTTTTAGGTTTTATTATCATTACTTAAATAAGGTGGAGATAATTAAATGATTGAATCTACTAATGCATTATAATCGAGTTAGAGATCTTATTATTTACCATCTCTTGGCATTTTCATAAGTTTACAAAATAGCTTATTAATAATCCTAGGAGCAGTTCTTAATGCTCCATTCATATAGGTTTATCTCCAATTTTCAATAAACTTCTTAAAACTAAAAATAACAAATTAAATTTACTCTTCTTTGCAATAAGATTAAATATGTTCAGTGATTAGTAAAATGTCTTAATCATTTTATTCGTTAAAAAAGCATTTAATAGTATAGCCACAACAAACTAAGAAAAGTAAAAGCTTTTTGTAAGCTTCAAGATTGTAAATCTAATAATATAGTTAAAAATTACCTCAGAATTACACAAAAAGTCCTACTTAAAATACTAAATAAAATTTTAAATGAGAGGGTCATCATCAAATCTCCATTTTTATGATTCTATAATGTGTAAAAAGAAGAGGACCTCTAGTTCATTAAACATAAACTTTTTAGTTACACCTCTAAGCATTTTAAATAAAGGTTAAGCAGTAGCAGCTTAAGATGCACTTTCTAAAGCAGCAAAACGACTTAGCATTTAATTAATTAGAAATGAATAATATTAATCTGTATAAGTAATGCACTTAGTATCATATTCCTTTTACAATAGTTATTTGTTTTTTGATTATTCATTTTTTTATTGAGTTTACTAAATATCTTTGTATGATAACTTAGTCTGATCATGGGTTATAATAAATCGTTTATTAAGAGGTTCTTCATTTTATTGAGTATTTCTAGGTGTTTCCTTAACTATATAGGTAGGGTATTGTTTATTCATGTAAATTGTATTTATTGAGAATATTATAAAAATAAGTCTAAAGAAAATAAATAATGTAAAATACTTTTTCTAGTTCTAATTTAATATTGTTTCTATTTTAAGAATTATCAAAATATTAAAATCAATATTACCATTGCAATTCATAATAGTTGTTCCTTTAGTTAAAATAATTGAAAACCTGAAATAGAATCTGAAACTCTGGTATAATTATAATTGAATATTATTATATGATATAATTTATATAATATTCATTTTCATAGTCCAACTATTGGATTCTCAGACATTGATAATAATTTTTTCGTTATTTAATCAAACTCATTTTCCATCTACATAATTCATATTATTGATACTTCATTAAATATCGAATTTAAAGTATCAAATTGTTTCATAATATCATTAATATAAACATCTTCATCAACAGGTAAAGATATATCTGGTTTAACTTCAACCTTTGGTATTTCAACTTAGATAGGGTTTTAATAACGCTGCTTTAAAATCTATGAAATATTAAAATTAATTGCCTTTCTATCTTGTTCATATTTTATTTTATACGATTCACCATTTTATATTTCATTTTATTTCTTTTTTGTACGAGCTGAACAACATGAACAATATGAACCCATTTATTTTATTTTAATATTATCTTCTGAATTAGTTTTAAGAAAGAAAAGAGAACAATAATAAAAATTCTATTTATTATATATTAATATGAAAGGTTTTCATGACTTTTTTTAACCCAATTCATTCATCGTAGAATCTATTTCTTTTTCGATCTTTTATTATAGATAAAATTATTACTTAATTAATGCATTTGTTTAATTCATCGAAAGCAAACTTCACTGATTATTCTAATGAGTCAAATTCATTCTCTTCTTTTTAAATTTACTATATAAATCAAAAAATTTACAGGTGCTGGGTTATTCTGACCTTTTTCAGATGGAATATTGGATTGTGTTCTTTATAAGTTGGGTTATTATTTATCTTTTGGTTGTTCAACATTCTTTGATTGTGTGCCAGCTTCTTTATCGCTCTTATTACCCATTTATATTAATTAATATAATAATAGAAAAACATAAATGTGATTTTTTCAATTAATTAATATATGTATAATTCACATATCTTCATCACTACTTTCTTTATCTTCCTCTTACATAGATTATCTACTACTACTACTCATTTAATCAAATCTAACGATTCTTTATAAGAAATTAAATTTTATGATATTCCTGCTAAATTACTTTATTCTTAAGAACCTACATTATCAGTGTCCTACTACTATTATTATGATTATATTTGTGGATCTTTTTATTATTATACATAAACTTAGTTTTTTGTATGATGAAATTTAATTCAAGTTATTTCTTTTTCTTAATCTGATATCTATTTTATATTAATTCTTTACTTAATTTGTTTAAATTGGTTAACTTGATTTTTGAATATTACAAACTAATAATTTTCCTTTATTTGTTCCTGCAGCAATTAAATTACTATTAAAATACGCAAAATCAAATTAAGGTTTTATTATAGATATACTTGAAGTTGAATTAAATACTCTAATTATTAATAATCGTGGGATTGAATACAAAGATAATTCAGATATTGTGTAATTAATGAATATTAAAACATAATTGAATTATTTATCTACAATAGAATTCTAAATATTTTAAATACTAAAATTTATTGAAATCTACTCTTTTTAATACAATTAATATAAACTAATTTTATTTTTATGTAATAAGCATAAATTATTTCTATTAATAAGAATGCAATTTCAATAGTGTCTCTTCAATTTTTAGTCCTCCTTTTCTTTGATTTTCATTCCATTTATAAAGCCACCCATTTATTGAAATAGCGTAACTGCCAGATTCATTTTTCTATTTTTTTTTAATTATTAATTTAATAAAAATGTGAAACATTGAACTTTTGAATGATGTCCCTCAAGTCTATATTTTTTTTTAATTTCTATGTTATTCACAAAAACTGTAAAATCTTCAGATTATGTACCAATATATATTTGTTGCAAGTGCAAGATGATTAAAATCTATAGTATTTTAATAACAATATAATTTCAAATTATTAAAATTATTTTTGTTTATATTCTCCTTGGTTTTTTTTGTTTGAATTCCTTTATTGAATTTTCAAATTGATATAGAATGGAAGCATATTGATGTTTTTATTGTTCATTTAAATATTGATAAAGGTATTATTCTAATAATTTATTGTCATGATTTAAAATTGATTGAGTAATTAATTTTAGATTTGAAGGATCTAGTGAAATATATGATTGTTGTTATAATTAATGGAAGGTTTGATAATATTATAAAATTAGAGAATTAGCTTAATATTTTTGTTTCTTTATGTTAATTTAAAATTTGATTAAAAAAAATTTCTTTTTTTAATTGACCATAAATAATGGATATAGTAGGAGTAAGACTTAGTAATTATCATAGAATGTGTTACCATAAGTTTTGAAAGATGAAGCTACAGAAGATAAGGGTGAGATGGCTAGATTGGTAAAAATTGAATAAAATAGATTTTTAGTAAAGTTTTGTAGGTGCAATAGCAGTAGCAGATTTAGTGAAAACAACATTAGGACCAAAGGGAATGGTTAGAATAATGAATAAATAGTATAGGATAAAATATTGAAACCAACAGGACCAGGTTAAGAAATGAGTCATATTACTGTAACAAATGATGGTGCCACAATTCTCAAGTCTATGTATGTAGAGAATCCAGCAGCAAAGATTTTGATAGAGATAAGCAAGACATAAGATGAGGAAGTAGGAGATGGGACAACAACAGTTGCAGTATTAGCAGGTGAATTATTGCGGGAAGGAGAGAAATTAATTTAGAAAAGAATTCATCCATAACATGTAATAGCTGGTTGGAGAATTGCAAGAGATATTGCATTAAAAAGATTAAGAGATATATGTATTATATATTTTAATTTAATTAGCTACTGAAAATGATATCAATTCTTAAGAATTTCATGATGATTTAGTTAAAATAGCTAGAACTACATTGAGTTCAAAATTAATCACTTCTGATAGAGATTATTTTGCAGATTTATGTGTAAACGCAGTACTTAGATTAAAGGGATCCTCTAATTTAGATTATATATAAATAATCAAACTTCCAGGAGGAACTATTAGAGATTCATATTTAGATGATGGATTTATTTTAAAAAAATAAATTACAATTGGATGTAAAAGAAGAATTGAAAATGCAAAGATATTAGTAGCTAATACTGCTATGGATTATGATAAAATTAAAATTTATGGTACTAAAGTTAAAGTTAATTCAATGGATAAAGTTGCTGAAATTGAAGCAGCAGAAAAAGAAAAAATGAAACATAAAGTTGATAAGATTCTTAAATATTAACCAACAGTATTTGTTAATAGATAATTAATTTATAATTATCCAGAATAATTATTAGCAGATGCAGGAATAACAGTAATAGAACATGCAGATTTTGAAGGAATGGAAAGAGTAGCTGCAGCAACAGGTGCTGAAATTTTATCTACATTTGATGCACCAGAAAGATCAGAATAAATTTTAGGTCATTGTGATTTAATAGAAGAAATAATGATAGGAGAAGAAAAAGTAAATTTATTATAATTTAAATTAATTAGATGATTAAATTTTCAGGATGTAAGAAAAATGAAGCATGTACAATAGTTTTAAGAGGTGCAAGTACACACATTTTAGATGAAGTTGATAGATCAATTCATGATGCTTTATGTGTCTTAATTACAACTGTAAAAAATAGAAGAGTAGTTTGGGGAGGTGGAAATTCAGAAATGTAAATGGCAGCTGCTTGTGAAGAAGAAGCTAAAAAAGTTTAAGGAAAATAAGCATTCGCTATTGAAGCATTTGCTAAAGCTTTAAGATAAATTCCTACTATTATTTGTGATAATGGAGGTTTATTATAATTTATAATTTAATTTTAGGTTATGATTCAGCTGAATTAATTTAAAATTTCAAAGTTGAATTATAAAAAGGTAATATAACTTATGGTTTGAATATGACTGATGGTACTATTGGAAATATGAGTGAACTTGGTGTTAAGGAATGTTTAAGAGTCAAAGAATAAGCTTTATTAGCTGCAAGTGAAGCAGCAGAACTTATTATGAGAGTAGATAATATTGTTAAATGTGCACCAAGAAAAAGAGAAAGAGCATGAAGTAAATTATAATAATAATACAAAATTTAAGATACAAATCATCTACTGGTTCATAAATTAATTATCACCTCTTCATTTTATTATTATGAAAATTAAGTTCGTTATGTTTCTAAATTCTAAAAAAAGATTTAATCTCTTTCTATTATGTATTTGATATATGGATGATAACTCTTTTATGTTAGTATGCAAACTACACAACTTACAAATATTAATGTTCCTAATCCAAGTTATATTAATAGAATTAATCCATATTTATAACCATTCCAAGTTTCCTTCTCATTTCTCAAAATTTACAATACCTCTCTCTCTGTTTTAAAATAAATATATGGATCATTTTCGAAATATTTTTTTAAAGTTCCAATCAATTCATAAGAATATTAAGTATTATTTTAAAATTGCCATCTCACATAAAATTAACATTCTTATTTCTCATATTTTAAACAGCTATCATTTTAATTATTATCTTAAAAATAACATTCTATAATATTTTCATCTTCTTCATTTTTTATATTTATTTTAGCATCACTTATTTCTATATCTTAAAAACATTTATTATAATTTTTTGGTAATACTTTAATCATCACAACAGTATTATTATTTAAAACTGATTATACTTCCATTAATATTCTAATCTAATTCTTTGATTCAAACTTTTTCTTTATTTTTGTTTCTTAAACTAATTATGAAAAATTTTCATCAATCTAAGTTATTACTTCAAACTCAACATAATCCTAAGTCTCCTAAAATAGAAAACTCTAACTTATTTTATATTTAGTTTTAATCAAAAAAGTTAAATTATTTATATTAATATGGTTGTCATTCATAATGTTTTAACTTCCTTATATCAAAATTTGTTCTTTATCCATTTATATTGATTAAGGTAAAAAGGAATTGTTTAAATAAAATTTAAACCAATAGAGTAAAGTTTATTTATTATTTTAGATTGGAATAGTAGCTTAATAAAAGATAGTATTATTTTTAATTTCTTATGAAAAAGTTTTTCGAAAGTCATAATAAAATGTATTTTTACCTTCAGGCTAAGATAGAAGTTATCCAGAAAGGAGTACTTAATTTTTTGTATTTGTTGGAAATCTTGCAATATAGAAAAAAATTAAATTTATTGATTCTTTGGAATTTAACTTAAATTCAATAGTTTTCATACAAGTTAAAAAATGATAATGCTGAATTTAAACGAATGGTTAATAGGTTATTTTTGTACTTAAATTATACATTTTGTAATCTATATAAATGTATAATGAATCATAGTTGAGTGGTCGATTAAAAATAAAAGTGTAAATATAAGTATAGTCATCTTCATTTAAAGGCAATTCTTAATTCTTGTCTAAACATATATCTTAGCCATTTTATAGACTTAATTATTATTATCCTTCTACATCTAATAAATTAACTTACTCTTCAGTTTAACAATCAACCCATTTCAACAATTTAAATTATAAATTATCTTAAGGAAATACAAGATCTTCTATGTTTCCAGCACTAATTTAAAAACAGAACAACAAAAATGTTATTGATCCTAACATTTTATAAAAATAAATTTTATTTATTTCTATCTAATTGAATTTTGATATATCAAATAATATATCATAAAATATAATTATAATATATCTATAGATTTATGATATAATAAAAGACTAAATTTTATTATAGTTTAAATCAATTTTGTTAAACAACCTCCTCCTAATAATAAATATATTAAAGCCATCTGTGATACAAAGATATCTTAAACACGAATGTTGAACACAGAAAGCATATCAAAGGTATTAAAAAAAACAAAGGTATAAGGATTGCTATAAATATAAAATCATAACTTGGTTCTTATTCTGGACTCCCTTCTTGTAAAACAATATCAACTAAATTAAATTAAATACTTGGATTATTATTTGCATCAATTCTTTTAATAATTGCTGTCATATTAAATAAATAGCTAATATTTTTTTGAAAACTCATATTAACAGTAAATAAACAATCTTTGTAACTTAAACAACTAAAATCACTCTGATCTTAAAATAAATCGCAATTTACTATTTCCCCCAAACTACTTTTTATTAAAATCTAAGCCTCTTCAAATTCATTCACACATCCCGATTACTTTGCTTTTAATGAAAAATTTGTTTGATTATTATTTGATTCTTTAAGTTAATAATCATAATCTAGATTTATTTGGTGTTATGATCCAAATTCTTATTCTTGTATATAATTATTTAAAGATGAATTATATTGAGAAATCTGTTAAATAGTCTCAAATTTGATTATTCTTTGAGGCAAATTCGGGAAGCAAGGACTAAAAAGCCTTAATGAATATTTTGATAATATTAGATATTATTATTCTTACATAAAGCTTACATTTTTAATTTAACTTATATTTAATTTACAATTAAATTTTATCTTGCCTCCAATATCAATCTTTTCACAATACATTTATTCATCATAATTGTATAAAACAAAATCTAAACAAGCACCAACAAATCGAATATTTTATAATGATAGTATTCCATCATATTACAAAATAGAATTATAGATTGATTAATTTTGTGTTTATAAATTATACTAAGTAAAATTATATTCTTCTGTAATATTTAAAAATGATTATTTTAAAACTTAGCTATAACTGCTTAAATTTTAAGATTCTTAAATAAAAATCAAATAGTTTTGTAAAGCTAAACCTTGACCTTTTGATATCATCCAAAATTCAAGTTTATTATAGTAGCATAATTGTTTATGCCTTATAAGTACAAAATTATCTGTTGCTGTTTCTTAAGTTATAGTATAATTACTGCCATCTATACGTATTATCAACAAATCATTAAAATCTATAGTTCTGTTGAATATAAAGTAATAGAAATTCATACAACCATTTGAACTAAATTTATTTTTGCCAAACAAACATAGTGGATTATTATATGAAATAGGGAATTGTTAAATTTGAGTAAATTCATTAATTTCCGATGCAATATTTATCTCCTCATTACTACAGTTTACCCATTTTTATCCTAAAATCGAGAATCTATTTTATGGAAATAAAACAGTATTATTAGTGTTTCCTAATTAAAACAGGAAGGCAATATAGATAAAATATTTATTAAACATATAAATATTATTAATAATGAAAATAGATTAGCAAAACTAAATATTTTTTATTACTAACTGTTGAGAAATTGCAATAATTATTAAAATTGATAATCTATTTAATAAATCTTAACATTTTTACAATATTATTCCTTACAGGATGCAATATAAGTTGAGAAATTAAAAAAAATATGAATTAGATCTTTCATTCGATTGTAGAAATAACATAAAATAAAAACTAAAAAAAACAGCTATATATTTACTAAAGCAGAATAAATTAAAATTTATAATAAATTTAATAGAATTTCTTAATAACATAGTGTTTTTAGGATTGGATATATTTCAAATTTGATATAAGAAAACCATTTTTATGGGAATTTTCCATATCTTTTCTAATAATGAGATAAAGTACTTCAAATAAAATATAATATTTGGAATGGAATCTATTGTATCATAACTATATCATCATCCATTAGAATTTCTTTTCTTTTAAATTATTAAATAAAAAAAAATTGTCAAGTTTAATGAAAATGATGGATTAAATAAACAATATTAGTAAATTTCAAGGTTATTTGACTTCGGAAAGTCTGAAACTTGAGTTCATTAAGATTACTAAAGATTTCGAAGTTATTATGGACACTCTTCATTATCACGAAATTAATACAGATTTATGAATCATTAATATTACTTTCAGACTTAAACAAAACAAATTAGATTTACTAATCTTAGTCATATACAAGTAGTTTAATTGATTTTATATAAAACTCTTTATTTATTTATATCGATTTAAAAATATAATTGCAATTTTCATAAAATTTCTTCGCTTATAGATAGACCAAGATTAAAGTAAACTAAACAAAATCACTAAATAACTATATTTTTATAGTAAAATTTATTATTATATAAAAGTAAACATCTCCTTAATAATATTTACGATATATTAAATCATTAAGTCTATTAGTATTTTAACTATTTCTGTTTTTTTAGCTTTTGATTTCAATTTCTTATAAGGAAGATAAGTAAATGATTTATAATTTTTAATAACTAAGAAAAAATGATTGAAAATATAGAAATTATGATGAAAATGTATAATTAATTATTGTTATTGAATAGATATTTTAGAAAAAAATTTATAAAAGCTTAGTTTATCATTTAATTTTGAAAATTTTACTATTCTATTTATTAGTATTGGCTTGAGTTTCAATTTTTATTGGTTTAGATTATTAATTTTGATTTTTCCAATATTAATATTTAGATTTTCACCTTGTTATGGAAATTAGTTTAAATAATCAAAAAAATTTTTATGGTTCATCGAATTTCAAGCAGCAGCTATTGAAAATTGTTTAAAATTGAATTATATGGCAACACAAATTAAATTGGCAATTTAGATCATAATCATCAATACTTACTTTGAAGAACATTAATGATACCTTTGAATGAAATATTAAATTTTAAGCTACCATAAAATGCAATTTAAGAAAATGTAAAAATTTTATATTTAAATAGATATAAATATGCTATTGAATAATGTGGTGAAAAAATTATCTATTACTTAATTTTATCAAATTAAAAAATTAAAATAAAATTTTAAGTAACTATCTTAGAATATAAAATAATGAATTTAGTATTTATAATAAATTTTTTCAAGCAAAAACATAATTTTAATTGATCTTTGGATGAAATGTACACTGTTCTCTTTCCTTTTATAATGCCTCTTCTTCTAATTGCCTCTTATTCATATTGTTTTATTAAGTTATTTTAAATGGTTCTAATTTCGTTTTTTCTAGATGATTTTTATAATCATATTTCAATTCATAATGGAATAGTTCTTTTTCTCTCTCTATTTATTAATGAAATTTTTTTTTTATATTTTCTTTGTTTTAAAAAAAACTCTCAACTCCTTTTACTTTTTAGATTAAGGTTTCTTCATCTTTTTAAAACTATTTTGTCATTGGTTTAAATGTGCATTCCTTTAACTCTTAATATTACATTTGTCTAGAATAAATAGTTATTTTACTTTTTTAAATCTTAGATTTTTCTTTCTTTTAGCTCTTTTTCAATTTCCATATTTTATTTAATTAAGTTTTTATCATATTTGGATTTGACATGCTAATACTATTATGATTTTTTAGTTTAAGGATAATAACTAAAGGATTACTTTGATTCTTATTCCTATTGAAATTAAGTCAATAAATTACTTCTTTTAATCTATTTAATTTTTCCTATCGTTCAGGATTATAAGCTAGATCATCTAAAGATCTCTTTTATGCTATAATAGAAGAAATTTAATTTATTTAAGGTTTAAATGTATATTATTGATAATAGGCTTATTGTATTTACTCTTTTAAGATTTGATTTTTCTCATAATCTCTTACTCCAAGACGATTAATCTTATCTGACATATTCTCTTATAATCTTTCTTCATTACTTTCCATTATTAATTCACTTGTTTTATTAATTTAAGGTTTGAAGGTAACATCAGAATTTTTTATAAATTCTTGAATGAGTTTTTCTTTTTTTTCTCTCATAAAATCTGCAATTAAATATTAAGTTTAATAGACTTAATTAATTTATTATACTGGTTTTGAAGTTGGATTGATTTAAGGATTAAAAGTACATACATCTTTATCTTAAATTTCATTCTTTTAACTAATTTTTTTTTATAATTTATTAGCAGCATCTTCCATTAATCTTTCAACAACAGATTTTGATGTTTATTTTTGTTCTGCTATTTAAATCGATCTTTAAGAGATTTTAGGTTAATAAGTAACATCAGATTATTGTTAAAGTTCTTACTATTTTATTAATAATTCTTCTTATTTTTTTTTCATTACTTAATCAATTCTTTCGTATAAAGGTTTCATGAATTATTTTTCTCCTTTTAAAACATTACTAATTTAGCTAATGTCTGGTTTAAATGAAAATTATTCTGAATTAATATGATCAAATTTTAATTATTCTTTTCTTTTTTTTTATTCAATTCCATCTAAATATAATCTTTCAGCTACTGGTTGTTCAGTATTTCTTCTAGAGGCAATATCACTAATGATTGGTTTAAATGTACAATGTTATTCTACTAATTCATCATTATATTTTCTTTTATCATTTTCCCTCTATTCTAATTGATTTCTCTTATCTTCTAATAGTCTTTACCAAACTTCTTCTTTTGAATATTCTTATACTTTTTTTTATTGTTATCTGGGCATATCATAAGATTTTGGTTGACAACAAGGTCTCTTAATTTTAGGACTATAAGTTGAATTAAATTCTTCCATTAATTTATTTAAGTAAGTTTTTTATTATTCAAAATCTTCACATTCCTCTTCATGAGGTTCAGAAATATATTGTTCTCTATGATCAGATTAACTTCTTTAAATTCTCATCATATATTCATGATTAAATTCTTTATTTTTTTCTAGCTATTACTATAGTTTTTAAGCAGTTAATTCTAGAGTTTAAGTTTAAATTTTTGACTCTTTCTTGCTGCTACTAAGAATTAAATCATCCCAATATTGGGGAGATTATTATTCAATCATCATAACGATTTTTGAATTAAATAAATAAAAAATTATGCAACCTGATTTGGAACATAATAGGTTTCTAAAAAAAATGGAAAAATAAATCAATAATAAATAAAAATTAGTACCTGTATTTGCTAAAAATCCATTTAAACCAGCTGCTCGTTTAATGTATGGTTCTAAAAGATATACTAATGTTATAAAATTCAATAGTTGTTAAAAATATGATAGTTTGATTGACAAATATATAGATTCTTAAGCTAGAAATAAGAATAAACTGTTACATTAAGAAATAAAGAACCCTCATTAAGATGCAATAAAAAAGATCTTGTAGAAATTAGAATAGAAAACATTTAGAAAGTAAAATGAAATTTTTAAAATAGCTAGGAATATGAAACTAACTTATTAACAGAAGTTGCATAAAAAAGAAGATTCAAAATTATGAATGCAAATGATGAATTCATTTATGATTAATCTACAATAGATTATAGTAAATATTCATTAAAATTACCTCGATTAAATCAATCTTTAGATTTAGTATAGTATCACAATGAATCTTGTGATAGTAAGATTTCAAAATTGTTGAATAATTGTTAAGAAGAGAAATCTATATTATCTAATATAGATTCAATTTTAGTTAACAACCATAAAAAATAACGGAGACATTTGGGAGCATTAAAATAATATGTCAATATTTTAAGTCTTGATATTTGATTATTATTTATAATATAGTATATGATTCACGGTCCTAATTCCCAATTTTCAGGTGCATTTACAATAGGTAAACGATATGAATGTAATTATTCCCTCTAAAACTTTTAGCTGCAATATACTAAACTAATCCAAATCCAGGGTAATGTATGCTATTGACATAGTCCAAATCACTATACTATTAATCCAATTGATAAACCTATAGGATTTAGATTTTCTAAATCAAATAGAAAACCTTTATATTCAAAAAGTATAGCACCAGATCCTGGAGCATATGATCTTAAATTTAAAGTTTACAGAAATATAACTTAATTAGACAATCTGTCAAAATGTTCCATGTGCTGTTTTTACAACTGCCAAAGATCATTAATAAAGAGGATTAGAAATTGGTCCGGGATCTTATAATTGGACTGATTAAAAAAAAGCACCAGCTTTTACTTTTCAAAGTAAATTCGATTCTATTGGTAATCAAATAATATAAAATCCTGGTCCTGGTACTTATGACATTAAACATTATCATACTCATTAACCTCAAAACAAGGGTTTATCTACAAGTAAAAGGGTTAATCATTTAACATCAAGTTCACCAGGACCAGGAGCATATGAAGTTGAAATCCCTAGATTCTCTACAAGCATAAAGTATTAGTTAATTTCTAAAAGATTTCCAAAATCTTAAAGAAGTCTAGATGTAAGTTAAATTGGACCTGGCCCAGGAGCATTTGATTTGACAATTCCTAAATAATAAGGGATAACATTTGGAGTCAAAGGAAATCAATAAATAGAAAAATCAAATATTCCTGGACCAGGTAGTTACAAATTAAAATCATTTGTTGAATATGATGAAAGAGAATAAAAATAAAATAAAATGAAAGGTGTTAAGTAATAATAATTTACTCAAAATAGAATTGGTACTTCAGTGAGAAATAGTGAAAATTTACTTAAACAAGGACCATCTCCATTAGATTACGACGTTTCTAAATACAAACATCCGACAAGACATGCTAGGTAAATGAAATTACAATTATTTAAGTTTTGGAAATGCAGTCAGATCATCAATAATTTAAAATGATAAAACTCCAGGTCCTGGAGCATATAAGATTGATTCTAAACTTAGAAGAAATGGCCCAATAATTCCTAAAGCATAAAAAGAATTTAATCATTTAGAATATATTCCTGTAAATTTCTAAATTCAAAATTTAGGGTCCAGGAAAGTACAATCCTAATACATCATTATCATCAAATAAAGGACCTAGTTATCATATAGCTGGCAAATATGACAAACCATTAGAAAGTAGTTTAGTTGGACCTGGAAGATATAATATAGAAAGGAATATTAACGATGGTCCAAAATATACATTTCCAGCCCTAGAAAAAAGTATGGATAACAAATCACTAGACATAAATCAGTATATTTTCTTAAGATTTATTAATATAGATCACATTGCTACGAAATCTAATAAACTATTGGGTATATACCTCCATACAACTTACATAATTGAATAAAATCAAAACGGATTAATTTAATATAAAATTATGAAAATAATTGTCTTAATATTCTTGTTGGGGGCCTTTGCTTCAAATATCAGACATAAAAGGGAAAGGTTTTTTATTATTCTTATAATTTAGACATAGTGATTCGTAGACATTATCACACTAATAATAGAATACAAAAGGTATTGAACATTAAATAGATATATTTAGAATTGTTATAAGTATCAGATATAGACAATGAATCTTAACCATTTATTGAAGAAACATTAAATCAAGAATAAAATTTAGAGGAACCCAAACCATTATATAATAATGATGGCAGATCACCTGATATGGGGTTGAATGAAGTACAAAATAATGATGCCCCTGAAGCTCCTATGATGTCAGATAATATTTTAGATTACTCAGCTTAAGAATAAATTATAACTGGTGTGTCTCTTATCTAAGTTGGAGAAATTGATGCATTAGCTGATATTGATACTAGTATGCCTTTATTAGATGAGGATTTCAAATATGATGAATAAGCACTTTAAGAAACACCTTTAAATATTGATATTATTGAAGAAGTACCTTAACAACAAGATTAAGAAATTAATTAGATTGATGATTAATTGTAATAAGAAATCCAAATAGAAGATTAATAAGATTAACTTATTAATGAAGTTTAATTACTCTAAATTGGAGGATTCTATTATTGATTTATTCAATAACATATATAATATTAATTTAATTATTCATGAATAAAATAAACATTTCAGCTACATCACTCAACTTTAAAAAGCTAAAGATTATAAGCAATCCAAATATATTTAATTCATCATATCTTTTTAATTAAAATAACCCTGTTACATAAAAAAATGATGATAAAAAATAATCAATTCTAATCATGAATTCATACACAGAAAGAACGAAAACCAACTCCATTAAAACAGATAAAATTTAATTTAAATAAAAGTAATAATATATGAACTTTATTTTAGTTTAGCTCTCTTATAAATCTGAAAATTAATAATTCTAGTTTAAATAATGAGTTAAAAAATAATTAAAGAACATTATCTTTAATATCTCGATAATCGAATACTAGTCCTAATTCTAAAAGAACAGCTTCTAAAAATAATTTATCAGTCTCTCTTACAAAGGAATATGACAAAAAGGGCGAGGTGAAATAAAAAAAATAAGATAAATAATTATTTTAATAAAAAAAACATTAATCATCTTAATCGCATAGATAATAATAATAATAATAATAATAATCATAATAATAATAATAATAATAATCATAATAATAATAATAATAATAATCATAATAATAATAATAAGAATAATAATCATAATAATAATAATCATAATCATAATAATACAAAATTACAAAATAATATATTAACATATCATTTCTTTTTTTTTATTTTGTTTAAGTACTATGAAATCTCGGCTTAATTGATTAGTTAGTTATTGTATTTTCTAATTTTAATTTCTTTCGTTTCTCATATTTGCTATTTATATTGATCTCTTCTACACTTAGATATCAATATGATGTTCCTCCTGGACATGTTCAAATGTAAATCTACATTTATGAATTTTACATGTTCTTATTGGTAATAAAAATAATTATCTAACATAATTGGGTATGTTTAATAGTCCTGAGTAACTATTTTTTTATTAAGTTCAGCTCGCTGTTCTTCATTTAATTCCATCTTATGTCTTTCTTTTAGTAAATTTTGCATTTTAATGAATTATTTTAATATTAAAATAGTATTTACAATTAGATTTAAAAATCTATCAGGTGAATTTTTTGGTAATTTTAGTCATTGTTTCAAACTTTTGTTTCCTCATTTAATGAATTTATTGCATTAATTATTTCTATTGAAGTGTTAGTATTTTTAAGATATAAGAAAGATGAGGTGCTATATATAAGGTCCATATTAAGGTTATTTAATTAAATCGAAAATTTTTTGTTATTTTACCAAATTCATATTTCAAGTAATACATTCTTTTAGATAGCGCCTTTAAATGTTTTTTAATTTCTCCAAAACCATTTAAAATAATTTAGAAATATTTTTATTCTTTAACTATTGCTATAATATAGTTATCTCATATTCTTTTAAAATATGAAAACTCATAACACCACATTTTAAAAAATTGATTTACAGATTTAGCTGTTCGGACACAATTTTTAATTCTTTTATCAAACCTTTCATGATTTTTTTTTTCAGAATGAATGTTAGCATATAAATACTAAAAGTCTAGTTGTACTGAAAATTTTCCTTTTATGAGGGCTTTTAAAAATTCAATTTCTGTTTAATTTAATATTTAATTCATTTTCACATAGTTAAAAGGCTAATTTAGGTTTTTAGTGTTATGGTGATTTAAATCAAAAAATAAGACATATCTTTTACCCTTATTTCTATTTTTTTAATGTCACAAATTAATCAATAAATTTATGGATGAGTACCATACCCTTGATAAAACCTATTTATTCTTTAATTATATTATTATAGCATTAATCACTTAGTTTTTTCACAAATCTAAGCTTAAGTTTATTCTTCTTTAATTTACTTATAAATTCAAGAATCAAAATAATTTTAGTTCAAATTAACCTTCTTACTATTATCATTTAACTCAATTAATTCTTTTGGCTTTTAATTTCAGCATAAATTACTTTCTTAAGATA